TTCCTGAGTTTCGAGAATTGTCATCTGTTAAAGAGTCTTTGACGGAGTCTGCACCATCTCCTGGGTCAGTTCTGTGCTTTCTTCGCATCCATCTGAACTCCCCGGACAAAATTTTGTTCTCCAGGTCCTGCTTCTCACCCGGAACTTTTTCAACTACATCAGACTCCCCGGACAAAATTCCTTGTCCCGAGTGTTGATCTTGAACTCGCCGGCTCTTCTCACCGTTCGTCTCCCCGGACAAACAATCTTGCACCAGGTTTCGTTCAACCTTTTCACCTTCTTTATCTTGGTCCACAAAGGTAACGGTTTTCTTTTGCGTTTTGTTCCCCTGTTCTTCTCGTCCGTAAGAAGTACTGGTTAAAACCTCGTGTGGTATTGAGGATACTAGTTGCTGAACTATTGTCCTACAATCCCTCTCGTTCTCTTTGTGTTGTCGTCTGGACGGCGTGATCTTCACCTTCTCACTGACTGTCAGTGATGCCACTGCTGCTGCCCACTCGGGGTCATCTCTGGTCACTTCTCTCTCTAACAATCCAACCAGCATCCGCATCACTTGCGGTGTGACCTGCACCGTTTTATCCAATAATGAGAGGCTGTTAATGTTCATGCGAGAGAGTTCCTGTTGGACCAGGTTCGAGCGCAGCAACAGATTCAAGGGCACTGGGTGCTTCTTGGATAGGATCTTTATCTCGGCTGCTTTCTCTACAGGTAACTCAGGATGTCCTGGAATTGGATGTCCAGACTTGTCCAACCATCTCGTTAAGGGAAGCGCTTCATAAGTTTCTTTGTCCAGAAACGAGAATCCTTCCTTTATTTCTGCCTGATTGGCCTGCTTCTGTTCCAGTCTGTCAGCATTCTGGTGTTTGTCACGCATCCTGTGCTCGATTATCATGTGGTAGCCATCTAATCTTACTATCCACCTACCAATATAACTCTGATCCATCGAGTATGTCTTCAACCAGGATAACGCCCTGTTGTCCACGCGTGACTTAAAGGGAGCGCTCCCTAAGTATGCGCGGTACTTTTCCACAAATGTGACTACTGCAAAAATTTCTGCTTTCGGTGCACCATATTTTATCTCAGTGTCACTTAACACCTTACTGCCATATGCTATGGCACGGAGAACGGTTCTCCCATTTCATTCCTGCTCCTGGTGAAGTATTCCCGAGATGGCTACTACTGATGCGTCTGTGTCAAGAACATACATGCCCTTTTCAGTAGGCATGCCCAGCACTGGCGCCTCGCACAGTTCCCGCTTTATGTTCTCAAAGACCGTTTGAGCTTCATCGCTCTATTCGAACTTTTTCCCTTTGTTGCGCATCAGCTTCTGCATCGGATACACCTTGTCTGCATATCCTTTTATGAACTCACGGTAGTAGTTGGCAAACTCTAGGAAGCTCATGAGCTGTGTGTCCGTTCTGGGAGCCTTCCAAGTCAACACTGCTTCCAATGCTTCCGGCTCTGGCCTCACACCATGCCTATCCACTATTCTTCCTAGATACTTGATCGAATCCCTCAGGATTTCACACTTCGAAGGTTTGCATTTCAAGACTGCTCTTTTGATGCATCCAAATACCTCATCGAGCCGATCAATGTGGTCTTCCAGGGTCGGTGTTGCTATGACTACGTCATCCATGTAACACATCACAAGATTCCCGTACTTTTTTGTCACTTTGATCAAAGCCTGAGCCATCACTCTTTGAAAAGTGGCCGTTGCATTGTACAAGCCGAAGGGCATCCTCTTCCACTGGTACAACCCCAATTCGCACTCGAATCCTGTCTTTCCCTATCCTTCTTCCGCAGAGAGACCTGCCAGAAAGCAGAACCCAAGTCCAATGTGGTGAAGAACTTGGCATCACCAAATTTAGAGATGCTCTCGTCTATTCGCGGTATCGGGTACGCATCTTTTATCGTTACCGCGTTCAAGTAGCGAAAGTCGCAACAAAACCTAAACTGCTCACTTTCTTCTTCGCCCTTACTACCCCGCAGCATTTTTATTTCCGCTCGGCACGCTTCCGATTTATGTGGCGTCATTCGTCTTGCGCCTTCCCTATGGGAAACGGCGCCTTCCTCATGTTCGATTTCGTGTTCTACGAAATTACAGCAACCGATATCCGCCTTTTGTTTTGAAAATACATCCGCGTTCCGATCTAAAACCTCCCGTAGTAGTTCGAAATCTCCCTCGCCCACCCAGGAGCGCCATAAAAACATCTATGTAACATTCGCTCGGAAGTACATATCGTCGGAAAAAAAGCTAGGTACTAAGACGACTGGCCAACGTCTGAACAGAGCTCTACATGCTTTTCACCGTCTCTACCAAAGCCAGTTCTTTTGGTGGTCTTTCTAACATCGGGTCGACAAAAACGTTACTGTTCTCCGGAATCGACCAGAACGCTCAAATTAACTTGTTTACAGGCAAAATTAGTGAGCTCATGGCTGGGTCGCAGCAAAATTTTGCTTAAAGCAGTTTCAGTTCAAATCCCGGGACCCCTCCGGATTCCTGAATCCGGGGAAATAACGCCCTTATCTTCTTTCCGGAAGGCTGTTTTCTACCCTTAACCGTTGTTGTGAACGGCCTTGCAACGATTGTAGCGACACAATCGTTGCAACTCGGAGCGGTCTCGGCTAACTCTGCTTTTCCTTGATTCTGATCTTCGAGTTTTTTGTAGTTATCTTCGTCGCAACTATTGTTGTTCTGAGTTTCTTGTGGTTTTCTTCCAAAATTGCGGTTTTTTGCCTGCTCAGAAGTGCGACTTCTCAGTTCGACTTTTTTGAAATTTCAAAGTACCAGAATATTTTGACCGTCACCGTTTGACTAATCGTCCCAATAACGTCACTAATCTATCAAAAAATTATTCGATAGGTTAGCTCCTAACTATTCGAAATCGCCGAGTCTGCAATTTTTTTCATTCTGGTCGAATGTCACAAAGGCTATAGTTCTAGAATCAAAAAATTCTGGTTAAAACAAAAAATTTTGTAATAACTTACATGTTAGCATAAAAAATAGCGACAAAACGAAATTGTAGAAATGAAAAAGGTTAAAATTCTCAAAAATTTGTGACAAAATGTTTAAAATTGTTAAATATTAGTTGTTACATAATTTCAATAATATTTGTAAAGTTTTGATTGGTTGAATTTTTTAATTATTGAAATAATGATGTGTATGACACTTTTTATGATCTTTGATCATTTTGTACAGATAGTTTAGATTTTTTAAAACCAGAAGATGCACAAAAATGTGCGAGAACGTTTGCTTGAATTTACAATTTTAACGCGTTTTCACATGTAACGTAAGCGGACGACTGTTACACATTGTAACATTCGCCCGGAAGTACATATCGACGGAAGAAAAAGCTAGATTCTAAGACGACTGGCCTACTTCTAAACAGAGCGCTACATGCTTTTCACCGTCCCTACCAAAGCCAGTTTTTTTGGTGGTCCTTCTAACATCGGGTTGACAAAAACGTTACTGCTTTCGGCTTCGGTCAAAACACTCAAATTAACTTAATCACATGCAAAATTGGTGAGCTCATGGCTGGGTCTCAGTATCCCCAGACCACGAGGTCACTAATTTTGCATGTAAGTAAGTTAATTTGAGTGTTTTGACCGAAGCCGAAAGCAGTAACGTTTTTGTCAACCCGATGTTAGAAAGACCACCAAAAGAACTGGCTTTGGTAGAGACGGTGAAAAGCATGTAGAGCTCTCTTTAGACGTTGGCCAGTCGTCTTAGAACCTAGCTTTATTTTCCGTCGATATGTACTTCCGGGCGAGTGTTACATAGATATTTTTATGGCGCTCCTGGTTGGGCCTAAACCACAATTCTTTTGGTTAACAGCCGAAAGGTTGGTGGTTCGGCTGTTAACCGAAAAGTTGGTGGTTCCTGCCCACCCAGGACCGCCAAAAAAACATCTATGTAACATTCGCCCGGGGGTACATATCGATGGAAAATAAAGCTAGGTTCTAAGACGACTCGCCAACGTCTAAACAGAGCTCTACATGCTTTTCACCGTCCCTACCAAAGCCAGTTTTTTTGGTGGTCCTTCTAACATCGGGTCGACAAAAACGTTACTGCTTTCGGCTTCGGTCAAAACTCTCAAATTAACTTACTTACATGCAAAATTAGTAAGCTCATGACTGGGTCTCAGTATCCCCAGACCACGAGGTCACTCCTAAAAACAGGGCTAATACTACTTATTATATTACTATTGTTTTTGTTCAGTAGATGAAAATCATCATCTCCATCGAAGATGGATCAACCCTTTCCCCAACTCCTAGCTTCTCACCGTCGTAAAAGGAATTCAGATGTTAAATAAATTCAATTCAAGACATAACCGGGAAGCTAAAAGTTTATATAAAATGATACAAGTTCCAGTCCAGACACCCCTCCGCATTCTTGAATCCGGGGAAATAACAACCTTATCTTCCTTCCGGAGGGCTGCTTTTCCACCCTTCACCGTTGTTGTGAACGGCCTTGCAACGATTGTAGCGACACAATCGTTGCAACTCGGAACGGTCTCTGCTAACTCTGCTGTTTTCTTCGATTCCAATATTCTATTTTCTCGTAGTTATCTTCGTCGCAACTATTGTTGTTCTGATTTTTTCTGGTTTTCTTCCAAAATGGCGGTTTTTGCCGTTTCTCGGAAATGCGACTTCTCAATTCGAATTTTTTAAAATTTCAAAATACCAGAATATCTCGACCTTCACCGTTTGACTAATCGTCCCCATAACGTCACTAATCTCTCAAAACTGTCAATTCGGAATTTTAGCTGCTAGCAATTCGAAATCGCCGAATCTGCATTTTCGTTCATTCTGGTCGAATGTCACACCTCTCAGGTAACTTCGGCTGGCTTACAGCTTAATAAGTTTTCTTCTGATTCTCTTTGTACCTTCTATTGTCTTTGTGTGAGTTTCTGATACTTTTTTATTCATTTTGACAGACTTCGGCATTTCTGATTTTTTTTTCGAAGTTTATAAACTTGCGATTAATTTAAAGTTTTTAGCCTAATTGTTGTGATAAACTTATTAAATAGCTTCAGATAAGTAATAGTACGATTGATCTTGATCATCACCAGCATCTGGGACAATGATTACAAGACGAGATTCCAACAACTACATAAAGAAAGAAATAGGGTGCTCCAGCGACGGCTGTGATATATGGACAACAGTTTCTCTGCCAAAATCTATCGCCGTTGCAACTCTAGAAAAAGCAGACTTTCATGTGGTTTTTGTGCCACAAAAAGACTAGCAGAACTGAAAGTGCATCATGAAACGAAGACTGAACCCTCTCACGCCGAAATTACGAAGAATATGAAAAACAGCAGTCTCTGCGCCACAATTGTTGAACAGGTTAAAGCGGAAGAAAAACAACAAACGGAAAAATCAAACAACCTTGTTATCCGTGGTTTGAAAGCCGACAAAGATCAAACCGACAAAGAGATGCTAACAGATCTAGCTAGTGCGGTTTCTGTCACACTTAAAGAAGACGAATTTACAACACACCGAATCAAGAACAAAAACAACGCCAATGCAAATCCGCTCCTCATCATTACGTTCAAAGACGCCATAACACGTCTAAAACTACTGAAAAGTAGCAAAAAATTGATGATTGTGATGAATTTAAGGGAGTATTTATCAACCCTGACTATACAAAAGCCGAACAAGCACAGCAGTATGAGCTACGACAAGAGCTGAGAAGCAAGAGAGAGACTGACTCGGAAAAAACATGGATCATCAGAAACAATATGGTGGTTCACTATGACTTCAGCAGTCAATGAAACCTAACACAGAAGAGCTGAAAGTAATTCTGTGGAACATAGAAGGTGCTAAGACAAACATTCCACTACTGACAAACAATGAACTCGACACAGATATATTACTACTAACAGAAACGCTAGCTACACACGACATCTCTTGCCTTTTACCAGGTTTTTACTGTTAGTTTGCCGAAGCCGTGAAGCCACAGAGAGGACGGCCTATGGGAGGCTTCTCTATTTGCGTCAGCAAGAGCCTAGACTGCAGAAGCACCGAGGTCTATAGAAATGAAAATGCTGTGTGTATCTGTTAACTTACTTACCATCATTGTTTGCTACTACCCACCGAACACCTGCGTTGATGATATTCTTCTTGACATCTGTCAATTCCTAGACACAGTGCCCACCTGTGCAAAAATCCTACTCGGTGGCGATTTCAACTGTCGCATTGATGGTGATCACGTACGGGGTGAGATCCTATGTGAAAACCTACAACTTGCTGGCCTTCACTGCATCAACTCTCCAGAAAATCGCACTTATTATTCCCACAACGGCTCGAGTACGATTGATCTTTTCTTTGCAAAAAATATAACAGCAACAAATCCGGCTACGCAACAGATGTTTCAGACAAAACATCAGATTGTTTCCCGCAGAATAGTTTTTCATGCCGGGAAAGTCGACAAGAAGAAACAGCACGCCCTCCTCTTCGACCCTAACACCTACGAACAGCATCAGCTTGTCATGTATGACAACTTGTCAGATTCAAATAATTGCTACTCTCATTTAATTCAATTAAGCTACAACATCTCGAGACCTCGCAGGAAGAGACATTCAAAGCCGTGGTTCGACAGGCACTGCTACCAATCGCACAAAACTTTGAAACTACAATGGTACCTAACAAATACCGGGGAAAAAAATTTGGGGAGCTACTCTCAAGCTAAACGGTCTTTCAAGGCACTATGCAGAAAAAAACGCACAGCACACGAGAAAGATTGCGAAGAAACTATTATTATCACAGCAGAAGCTGACCGATCCAAGTTTTGGAGCATTTTGAGTAGCAAGAAACGCCCATACATGCCCCAAGTACAACAAGACGTGTGGATAACTCATTTTGAAGCCTTATTCCAAGGCGAGAGAGACGTTAGCTTCCCAGAAGAACCCAGTTCATGCGACTACTACGACGACCTGGACCGCCCAGTTTCTCTACCAGAAGTTACACAAGCAATATCAAGACAAGCCAACAACAAAGCTCCAGGACCTGATATGAGAACCGGTGATTTTTTGAAACAAAGTTTTGGTCTCCTGTATTTGCATATTTTTACGCTGTTCCAGGTCTGTGTTGACTCAATAGCCATTCCCGATGCCTGGCGAGTGTCAAATCTGATACCGCTTTACAAAGGAAAAGGCAGCAAAAAAGATCCGGATTACTACCGGGGCATAGCCCTCTTAAACTATATATAAATGTTATACATCGATACTCCACAACCGGCTAGCTACTTGGTGCGAACAGCATGGAAAAATTGCTGACGTCCAGTATGGCTTCCGTAGAGGTAGATCAACCATTCAAGCTATTAGCATTCTCAGGGAGAACATTGACACATCAATCGCAACAAATGGCCACCTCTATGCGTGCTTCATCAATTTCCGTAAGGCTTTCGACAGCATTGATCGCTCTACTTTATTACAAAAATTGGCGAAGATGGGTGTATCCAACAATTTTCTGCTCGTCCTACATGATATCCTACCTCACAATATGGTACATGTCGTTAATGATGGTTATCTATCTTCCCCGATACTCCAGTGGCTTGGTCTACCACAAGGAGACAAACTCTCTCCTCTTTTGTTTTCCGTGTTTATTGCTGATTTGGCAGAAATTTTTGTTCAGTGTAAGTGTTTCTGCATATTCTATGCAGGCGATGTAGTAATCACTTCATCATCACCGTTTGACATCCAGTTGGCCGTTTACAGGCTCAGTATTTACTGTAAAAACAACAACATTAACGTTAATGTCGGTAAGACAAAAATCATAAAATTTCGCCGCGGAGGCAGATTGAAGAGTACAGATCGCATCTACTACATGGGGGAAGACATTGAATTCACCAACTACTTCGATTACTTGAGGGTTATTCTGACGGCAACCAACAAGAAAACCGCCCACTTGAATGAAAGACGTAGAAAAGGTATAAACAACATCAACGCCTTGTTTGCAAAAGTCAATTTTCAAAAACTACAGCTCCAGCATGCACACAGACTATTCATGAGTGTTATTCTGCCATCGGCTGCTTACGGTTGCAGCATTTTTACAGACAGTTTAGAGCACGCGAAACCAGTTGCAGGGTACTTCTGGAAACGCTGGTCTGGGTTATGCAAATATGCGTCTACTAGCCGACTGCTACAACAAATTTTTGAAAACAACTTTCTGAACATCGAAAAATCAACAGGGCAAACGCGCAGAGCCATAGCCAGCTACTATAACAACGGCCTACATAACGCGATTTGTAAGATTGAACGCTGCTACAAACCGGACTGCTCATGTGATTGTAAATATTGTGACTCTACCGCTGATAACTACAACCACCTGCTAGACAACTGCTCGTATCTCAAGGATCTACAAACTAGAACGCGGTTGGTGACAATCCTTCATAGACAGTGAACATTATAGTTTTACTTTAAAAACTCATTTATCTCATTTGAGGTGTTTAAATTAAACTTTTTCTCTCTCAAAGCTTGCGATTGGCAAGCGTTGTTTCGATTTAGTGGCTGTTTTGTATTGTATGGCAAGTGGTGCGAAGCTCGGCTTCGCTTCTGTATCTACTTTTCATCGCGGTGAAATTTTGGCGAATTTTTGGGCTTTGCCTCTGTGGTAGATAGATAGATAGATAGATACTTAAATTAGTTATAGAATGACATCTATAAATCGTAATAAGACAACAAATTAAACTATATGTCATGAAGTCTGCGCAGCAGGCGATAAGGAAATATTTTCATTTGCCTCTCCATCTTACAGCGAGCAATAGGTGGATCATGACAGCGCAGGTTGTTTGCTGAGTAGGTAGAATGTGTCGGAACTAAATCAAACAACAGATGATCAGAACTTGTTTGGAGGATTGCATCGTAGAGTTTTTGGTCAGCTCTTCTAATAGTTGCAGATATTGGTTCATAAGTATCAGTAACGCCAAGCCTTATTGCACGTCTTTGAAACAAATTTATCTTCTCTAGATCTTTAACATTTGAACCACCCCAAACATTAATGCCATAGTAAAGCTTTGGGGGAACAAAAGCACGATACAAAATAGCAAGTTCGTCCTTCGAATAACCGATTTTACCAAGGCGCCAGATTGAAAAAAGTATAGAATTCGATTGTTTAACAGCTTTGTCAATATGCTTAGAAAAACCAAATTTGGAGTCAATCGTAAACCCCAGCACTTTGAGGTCATCAACAACCTCAATGCCCTCAACCATATGTATGGCATTACTGCCACTATGATTGAAAATGACGCGCATTTCTTTGGAAGATTTTTGAACATTGAGAAACAAGTTTTTTGCGTCAAATTGGTGATAGAGCGAACTAATAACTTCCCGAGCATTGTCAGCGCTATTGCAGCCAGCTACAAGAGGATTGTTATCGTCAGCATAAGTTGATAACGTGGTGGAAATATCTGAAACATCAATAGCATGGGTAGAGCAATTGTAAAGAGGCGAACCAAGGACAGTGCCCTGAGGGACACCCTGATTAGTATACAAAACAGTTGAATCCAAGCCATTGAGAGAAGTATAATGGGCTCTATTTTGCAAGAAGTTAATGACTACGTTGACAACCGCAGGATCGACTATTGGGAAAATATTCATTACTCTTCTATCACACTCTTGTGGGAAATAGTATCAAAAGCTTTTGACATATCTAGAGAAAAGAAGCGAACATAATCATAGTTTTCACGGAAATTCCAGAGATGATGTTGCAGCCTAATGAGCATACAGGAAGTAGAAGAATGTTTACGATAACCATACTGGTTACGTGTAAGCCATCTCTTATAAGGGCCTTGCAGATAGTTCTGGTAAATTAACCTTTCAAACACTCTGGACATAACAGAAGTAACAGAGACAGGCCTCAAATCCTTTGGCTGCTTTGGAGACGAAACTTTTGGCAAGGGAGATTTTTTTGCAAGCTTCCAAAACTCCGGGAAAATACCTTGTTCCAAGCACAAGTTGAACATATGACAATAGATTTCGGCCAAATTGTGAGCATTGTCCTTAAAGATCCAAAACGGCAGAGCGTCTGGGCCAGTAGCGGTGCGCCTAATGCGTTTCATGGCATTAAATATTCGCAAGAGCGAAAACTGCGGACCGTCATTTGTAGTCTCCAAATAAGTAGGCTTGAATGGGCCTCCAGAAGCAGTGGAGATGCCATTATAGTACTGGTTAAGCTGCTCAGCCGAAAAAGCACAGGTGCGATCTGGGGCTATTGTATTCTTATTCAATAAAGTATTCACACGCTGCCACCAGTTTCGACCACTGGAATCAGAAAAGGCACGTTTAGTAATTAACATACGAACTTGAAGGCCGACAGCATTCGCTTCCGCAAGTTTACCTCGACGTGTATGTCGATGCTTCGCCTCTGTGGTAGTACATGGTGGTACCACCATTTATTTTTTGGGCTTCGCCTCTGTGGTAGTAATACGATGCTTTGCATTGCTCTATAGTTTAAATGAAAATGTTTTTTTTTCAGGCTAATATGAAGCTAGCTGTTTTTTGGATCTTTGTTCGTCTATTTACATGTGTAACAGCTAAGAGACCATGTCAGGTGAGTTTCCTTTGTTTATTTGATTCGCTTAAATTATTACCCTGCTAAAAATAAGACCCCGAAATTTATAGCTAATTGCTTTAAGATTCAGCAACTTCCGTTGGTAGCCTGGGGTACCACCATGTAGTCTGGGGTGCCATAATGTAGTCCTCTATGGATTTAGACATCGTTTCTTCACTTGATTATGTAGAGTGCATGAAACGCTTTGTCTATGATCTTGTTATGAATTAGAGCTATTTCGACATTGTAAGATATTCAGGCTGTTTTGGTGCTTTTTGAGATGTATCCTGTTCTCTACCATAAAAGAGCAATGCGTGTTATAGGATTCAGAGCTGACTACCGTGATGACTGAATGCAACAGCATAACAAATGAAAAGTACCGATTTACCGTTCCTACTACCCAAGAATGCGAAGCTCCGTCAGCATCTTTTGGAATTGCATGTGGTATGATTTAAATATATTTGATTTATCTAGTGAGGCATAATTAAAATTTCATGTAGCCATGCATGAATATTTGCTGATACCAAAATAGTTGAAAGAATTGGTTTTAGATTTTGACAGTCTAGAAGAAGAAGATTAAATCAATAAATTACTGAATAAAAGTAATCAATAAATTACTGAATAAAAGTCTTGGCATCAAATCACGAAAGTGAAATAAAGATTAGTTCAAAATTTCAGATTAGTTGTTTAAGCATATTTGCTAGAGTGAAATTAACCAATGATTAAATTGCGATGCAGTTACTACTGGAAAACATCATCAAACTTAACAACATTTAAAAAAATGTATTTTTTTTGCTTACGACTAGCAAGCGTTATTAAATCGGAATACATACTTTTTTGAATCGTGTTAACTACTAGTTTAACAGAATCACTTGAATCTTTTTACATTTGGTTCATGGGAATCCAAAAGACACATTATTTTGCGCATGTGGAGAAGATATAACGCACCTGCCTTTAAAGGTCAATGGTTCGAATCCGTCCAGGACCTGTTTTTTGACATACTTCGCTATAGTTTCTTTTGTTTGATGCCTTTATATTTTGAAGGGAATAAATTCTTTTAGTAGTAGTAGTAGTAGTAGTAGTAGTAGTAGTAGTAGTAGTGTCAATGACGGAAAATTGTCCGCTCTCAAAAGTTTTTTGTCGGATTTCTGGGCTCTTTCCTTCCCCCCCCCCCCCTCATCCCACCTCACACAAACATGAAATATATGGTGTAACGAGTGGTTATAGAAAGGTTAATTAGGACGAAATATGTTTGTCATAAATTTTGCAGGTTGGGGGGGGGGAAGAAAAAAGAGCCGACTTCTGTTTTTCTGCTAATTTATGGTCGGCATAACGTGCTTACCATCCAAGAACACGAAGCCCCGTCAGCATACTTTGCAATTGCATGTGGTACGAGTTAAATATATCTGATTTATCCAGAACGCCATATTTAAAGTTTCGTGTAGCGAAGTATGTCAAGTCAGGAAAGTGCAAAGATTAAATCAAATTTCAGATGAGTTGCTATTTTATAAGATCAAAATAATGTTTATTACCTTCAAGGTAGGGATATCTTTTGAATTCTTAATGCAATTTTTAATAGAATTTCTCTCTGATTTCAATGGTACGAAAAAGAAAGCCCCGCTTAATGTCGTCATGGGGGAAATAGAGTGGATAGAGAGATCAGTTGAGAAAAAATGATAATTTCATTCGCGAAAAGAGGGAGAATGAAGCGCGTCGAAAGATTTTTTTTGTTAGACTTCTGTTTCTGTTTGTTTTTGTCGGCTTAGTTGCAGCAGCACCAAGTTTGCATAAACCCTTTATTTTTTATTTGAATTGAAATTGATTACATTAATTTTTTTTTGTTTTAGGCAAATAATTGAGTTCAAAGAAGTTGACCGATTTTGCTATTTGATTTTTTTCATGTTTATTTAATTTTTTGGATGTTGTTTTCTTTATAAATTGAAGGAGAGCTCTATGCATTTGGTACCGTAGTAGCACCCATAGTAGAAGCGACAAATCTTGGAAGTGCGATTTCAGTCGGGACCTGTTTTTTGTGGAAACTGGAATTTTTCGACAGTTTTAGACTTTCATGTCTGCTTATTTATGTTGACTCGGTTTTAGAGGAATGCTCGGTTTCTTTTTAGTATTTTGAAAGCTCTCTGTAAAGTTTCTAATAGTGCAGGTAATTTTGTTCAAGGAATTGTTTGTCCTTTTTTGCACATTTTTAAAATTTTTTCGATAAAAACACGATTTTTTGATCGCTTTTTTTTCAATCTCTGATCTGTATGTTCATTTGCTTGTAATGATCTTGTATGTTCGTTTTTGTATCGCAAATCAATTACAATGTGTAAAACAATTTAACATCTGAAATATCGGTACAATTAATGGGTAATTCATACAAATCTACTTATGAAAACGGATCTCACGCCATGCGTACACACTGGATTAGATTGCTTTTCAGTCGTGTAGAACTCTCGCAATTTGTCTTAATTGTTGCAGTTGTGCTGTCAATTTTGCAAATTTACTGGCACTGAGTTTCATTTTTTCGACATGTCAAAATTTTGTTTGTACAGAAGCAGTTGAGCATTGATGATAAAGAATTGCTTGTTTAGTTAGTGCGATGACTAATTTTATAGTTGGCCATCAGAAACTTTAATGCATTCGCAAAAACTTTTCTTTTAGTGGCAAGATATTGGTGTAGACATTCCACATTTCAATTTAATTCATGTCAGGTTATATTCTTAATTTATGCATGAATGATGCAAGTCACACAAAAGAACCAAGTTTATACTAAGTCAAGAAGTGCTACAGTGGAGAAGGGATGGCTTAGATGATGTGTTCACCTGATGACGATGCAATAAAAGCTGAAGTTTAATGTCTTATTTTTTGGACACTTTCTCATTGCTTATTATATAATCATTGATAACCTGACGACATGAAATAGTTATCATCTGCGAATTTGGTGCATTTAAAGTCAATTGATTTTCAGCAAAAAAGGAAGAAAACTCGTGCAAAGAATATAGCTCAGAACGGTATTCGAAGATATAATTGAAGCAAACCACAAATAGTCTTATGCCATTTTTACCAAAGTTTATTCATCGCAAATACGTTTGAATAACCTTGGATTATAATTTGAACAACAATGGACCCAGTTTGTTCCTTTCGGCACACCTTTAACTTCAATACAAGACAAAAAAATTCCATTGACACTTACTCTTTTAATCCTTATTTTAAAAAAACTTGCAATCCTTGCTGTAGCTTCCTTTGCTTAACCAAGATAGCGTAACTTTTTTTAAATTCACTTGCGAGCGCATGTGTATCTGTAATCGGGAACTAGACTTTTTTCCCGCAAACAATTTTTCTTACAAACTACTTTTTTCAAGTACAGCAATTGCTTTCAACTGCTGCAGTAAATGCTGACATGCTCAATTTCTTGAAAAATATATAAAAGCACCTTGTAGTTCCTCGTAGGTACTTGATAATTTTTCAAGTAGTTTATGGAAAAATTCAGATTCGTAGCTTTTGTCCTAATTTCCGTCAGCTCATTTTTTTTTTCAAATGCTATCTTTATGTATTTTTAAGCTTTTTAGCAGCCTACTTTCCACAGAATGGTTTTAGTTTTAATTTTTTTTTCGATTTGCGTTTAAACAAAGTGCCAATCATGTGTTGTTTTTGAAATTCAAAGTGCCTTAATTTGATCTATTTTTATTCGAAATTTGAAAATTTTAAAAAGTTGTTTATCACTTATGTAATATTCGGTTGGCTAAGTTATTGGCTTTCATTTCAATTTATGGCTGCAAATTTGCAGTGTTGTGTTTTTGTGGTATTGCAAATGATGCTTCGCCCCGTGTTCAAATTGTTCACGCTCAGGTTTTATTTTTCGCTGTCTTGATTTCTTTGCAAGTTCAGTTCATTTCGTTTGTGAGTTATGTATAGGTTAATGTACTCATAGAGTAATTTCAGATAAGTTACACCGTCTGCTCGTCACGCTATCTTATTTTCGGCCGGATAGATTCGTGCAACTTCTTAGTCTAATACCGATCTTGATCTTACTCTTATATCTCCTAGTCTCAATAGATCTAGTGTACACCGGTTTGCGCGAGTTAGTTCCAGAATGAGAACAACTGTATTCTAAGTTTAATTCAAATTGTTCTGGTGTTGAAACTACTAGTAGTTTCAACACTTTACAAATAAATAGCTTGTTAGTTTGATGGAGTATGATTGGTTAGTATTTAATATTTTATAGAGATAAAATATCATAATAATAACCAATGATAAATACTAGTTTAGATCTGGTTCCATTTGTTAAAAGGAAAGCAAACTCCACTAAAATGCTTTAAAGGTTGTTTTTAAATACATTCAATGGCAAAGGTGTGAAGTTTTGAGACTTCAAGTAATTTTTTAAACTAATTTTTTGAAAAAAGTTATGAATTCCGTCTCATATAATGCGATGCATTTGTTGTACCGCAATTATTGCGAAGCTCCGCTCAGCCTCTGTGTAATAAAATACAATCACTTATTTTCTATTGGAATTGAATGTATACTACCAGAAAATATTGTTCTAGACAAAGTCTGCGATCCAGGAGAGTATTTGGACTTGGAAGGTGACCATGATTGTCATAAATGTCCTAAAGGCACATATTCGCAAGGCAGTGGCGCTAAAATTAATCACTGGCCAGAAAATGATACTGAGATCTATCTTCCGCTTGGATTTGCCCTGGACAGAACCTACATATCATACTCAAATAATGAATGCAGCGGGTTAGTTCTGGATATACATTTAACAATAATAGAGGAAGACATAAGGTTTTTGATCAAATATAATTGTTGCCCGGTTTTTGGAATTCGGAAGAACGCAGTAAATGTTTTCAGTTTGCCGTTTTCTTTATTTAGCTCATAAGCTTCTAGCTGAGTAAAAATAAGGATAGCAGGTTGCTGTACAGGTAGCTCAGAATGCTCGGACCACCATGATTTAAGTAAAAAAAATTCAAAAAAGGAAAGAATAAATATTAAGGGAAAAAATGTAGGGAAAATATAAAAATATATTTTTTTTCAAGTTCATGGCGATTCAGTTAAAAAATGAAAAAAGGTTGTTATAGTTGAAATAAAGTAGAATTTTTTAGTATAATTAATTTGAGGGTCATCGAAATTGGTTTCAGTGTTATCATAATGGAAAAAGGCATGTCAATTTTTCTCGACGCAGACAACTTGAAAAAATGTTGGAAACTAAATATAGTTCCTCCCCACCCCTAGGTATAGTCTGAACAATAACGGTTTAGTAAAAAGGTGACACTTATCAGGTATAATTTCATGTGTTCAATGCATCAATAATACTAATTTGGTAAGTGTTATAACAATTTTCTGTATCTAGGTCTACATGGACTCCTCGAGGCGATTTTATAGTCTCCAATGCAGACCATTGCTTCATCCGACTGATGTACATTGCAGATTTGAAAGTGGCAGGCTATGTTAAGTTCAGATATCGCTACACAGATCCAGCAGTCCACTTCCATTTCTATGTGAGTATTGCAACTGCAATCAGTGATTGCAAGGCGAAGCTGTCTTTTTAGACGTTAATTTATCTTCGGCAGGCAGTAGTGAAATTGATGGGCACCAATTTATACTGATTTAAGTTAAGTACTTGAAGAAAAACATCTGGTCCGATATTAGTTTGCGCAGGCTTTAAAGTGATGCATCAATTTGTTCACATGTAAATTTTAATAAAACGCATGCCAATCTTCATTCATTTTTGGTTTGAAGCAGTCGCTTTCCAGTTATCGCGAAGCAATCATTCTGGTCCGCAAAATGTTTCAGATCATCAATGACATTGAGCTATCTGTTTAGGTGGTTGATGAGAATTGTCATGAACCTCGAGAGAGCTCAATATACCCAGAACTAACTGGAAACAACGAGTGGGCCACAATAAGGGTACTAGTTTTGCACGCTATTTCGTTTTTAAATCTATTTTTAAGAAACTGAGACACTTCTTTTGTTCGTGTTTTGACCTTCTGACTAATCGCGATCGCTGTGTGAGGAGAATTGAAAGTTTGCTTTTCCAAGCTCTTTTTCAAATGGATTCAATATTTAGCATCAGCAGCGTGTTAGAAAAATGTATATTGCCTTTGAATTAAGTTTGTCACGTTTGCATTCGTGAATTTCGGTTTTAGGCTAATTTGACGCCTGGTGTGAACAAACTGTACTGGAGAACATACACTGTGACGTATGGAGTAAACGCAACTACTGAGGCCAACAGGAAGGTTAAACCTGTCCTGCTGAAATCCGTCTACGTTAACGGTAGGCTCACTTTTTTTTAAAATTGATTGGCTGATTACACTAGCCATCAGCGTAGTGTTTTACTACGAACCTTCTTTTTTTCCTTACCTAACTAGCAAATGAAAGTGTTCATTGAAAGTGTTTCTATATGGAAATTTTACTAATGCATTGGAAATGCATAGCATGTGTTCTCTGTTTTATTTGTGGCTAGTGTTTGTCATTAATGAAGCGTCCGTGGCTGAGTAATTAGTGTGCGAAATGCACAATCTCTAAGTCGCCGTAGGTCGAGATTCGAATCCGAGAAATATCAGATTTTTTAAAACTAATTCGAGGCTTATTTCTACTTTTAAAGAGTAACGAACGTAGTGAGTACTTTTATATAGGTCTTATGATTTTTCAGGAAAAAAATTTAAAAATTTTTCACGCTCAATTTTGATTTTTCGCGGTTTGACTTTTGATATCTTTGTCAGCTCACTTTATGTATTTTGTTAAAAAGAAGGCAAACTCCACTATCGAACAGCAAAATTTAAAGGTCACGAAAAACGGGATCTACTTATATTTTCGAAAATGGAAATTAATTATCAGATTTGCAGGCGAAATAAAAGTTTCGCCTATTGATCCAAATTTCTCAAATAGGGGTTTTTTTTTATAAAAAAAGTGTCAATAATAAATCGTTCTAAAATAAGAGCTTAGAAATTCTAAAAAAAACTGACTTCTTTGTTCAAAATCCCAGTGGAATATAAAATAAACCAATTGATCGAGTGTTCTAAAATTGGGTTATTTCTATCAAAAAAACTGCCAATTAAAAATTGTTCTTGAAATTCAAAGAGCTTTAACCTGATTAACCTTTTTTGCTATTATATTTAGATAGATATTATTTATCTATCTATCTATCTAGCTATCTTTTCGAAAATTGAAAAGTGTTTAAAAATTTTTAATCATTTTTTTTTGGTTTGTCTTACATTTTTCCTAACTTCTGTTGGCTTTGTTCGGGTTTTCCAGCGGGGTTAGTTTTATTAAGTCAGCGAGCGTAGCGCCATTTTAATTTTTTCCAACTGGGAAATATTTGAGCTCATTCGGTGGCACTTTTACTGCATTTGTTGTATCTGCTATGCTGATGGCTTGTGCTTGACGGTTGTCAAGGTTATATCGCGCATATCCGAGGATGTGAGACTCTTGATCTCCAGGTCGGGGATTCAAATCCGGTGCATATCAAAAGTTAAGCATTGGCAATTAAATAGCATCTTTTGTATCTGCTTTTTAGTGGCTAGTGTTTACAGAAGCAAAACTTGTGTGATAGTATGAACACTCTTTTTTCCAACCTTAGTCGCAAATATTAATGTTCATTTTGAAAGTGTTCATTTTGAGCAATAACCTGATTAAGTACAGCCAATGCTAAGGATATTAACACGGACTATTATATTACAGATAGCATTTGAGCGTCAAGGTATCATGGATCTCTAGCGTAGAGGTAAGAAAGCAGACCCGCAACAAAATGAGAGGGTTCGAACCTGGGCAGGGTCGGATGTTTTTAATCTTTTTTCGTATACTAGTTAAAATGCGTCCGCTCTATAAATTGAGGCATGTTAATTTGGTAAAGTGGTACTGCAAATGCGTCACAATTGGCTTGCGTTACATAGCTTCATACGAGAAGTTAAGAGCTCCAGTTTTAAAATGAATTACTGGGAGGACAGATTAAACCTACTAACTCTAATTTTAGAAACATTCTTAACTGGTGCATTGCTTTTCTGCATTTTTATGAGTAAAAATGTTTCTTGCCGATTTTCGAAAATTGAAGTTTACTAAAAGAAGCCAGTTTTTTTTCTGTTTTCTTAATGCTTTGGACCATGATTTGGTTTTTAAGAGTAATGAACGTAGTGAAGACTCTTAGATAGGTCTTGCTGAATTTTTTTTTTTCATCAGGAAAAGTCTTAAAAGTCTCTAATAACTACAGATGTGCATTCATACAGATTGATGCATTTATGAATGCACTTAGGTATATATGCACTTTTTTTAGTTCAATTGAAATTCAACTGCTGAAAGTGACGTAAACGTGGAAATGGCGCGAAACAACATGAACGATTTCTAGTTTCAAAAGTGGAATTTAATTTTTAGATTTCCAGCGAAATGAAAACTTTACCTATTGATCCAATTTTCTCTTGTTGGCTTCTTGTTATCAATAAAGCGCCAATCATAAATTGTTCTAGAAATTCCAAGAGCTTAAATGGCCTCTATTTTTTTCTTTGTATTCGAAAGTTTTTTCAAGAAAGTCAGTTTTTTTGTTTACTTGCGTTCATTACTGTTTTTTTTATCTTCGATTGGCTATGTTTTCTTTTTTTTCCTCTCGATCGCAAGAAAAAATAAATGGAGATTTGTCTTGAATTTTTCTACGTGCATTAATGAGAAATTTAAAATAATGATTTTGTGATTGCCAAAATTGTTTTCCCGCTTATAACTAAAAGATTTTTTAGCCTGGTTTGAGTTTGTCATATGTGCTTTTTAAGATTTTTTATGTCAAAGAATGGTTGCGTTTTGTGTGCGCCAGATATCCTCAGAAGTTTTGAAAAATGTGTCAGTTTTGTTTTGTCATTTTTAAACAAAGGATAAGACTGGTATATTTTTTTTGTATCGCAAGTGATGCGAAGCTAGCTTCGCTTCGCCTCTGTGTAGAAAACTGCAACACGTGATAAAATTAACAGACTGTTTTTATTCATGGTAAAGCTTGAGAGCCGTCTGTATTCATGGTAAAGCTTGAGAGCCGTCTGGAGAGTCTTTCTTTTTTTGCTATTATATTTAGATAGATATTATCAATCTATCTATCTATCTATCTATCTTTTCGAAAATTGAAAAGTGTTTAAAAATTTTTAATCATTTTTTTTTGGTTTGTCTTACATTTTTCCTAACTTCTGTTGGCTTTGTTCGGGTTTTCCAGCGGGGTTAGTTTTATTAAGTCAGCGAGCGTAGCGCCATTTTAATTTTTTCCAACTGGGAAATATTTGAGCTCATTCGGTGGCACTTTTACTGCATTTGTTGTATCTGCTATGCTGATGGCTTGTGCTTGACGGTTGTCAAGGTTATATCGCGCATATCCGAGGATGTGAGACTCTTGATCTCCAGGTCGGGGATTCAAATCCGGTGCATATCAAAAGTTAAGCATTGGCAATTAAATAGCATCTTTTGTATCTGCTTTTTAGTGGCTAGTGTTTACAGAAGCAAAACTTGTGTGATAGTATGAACACTCTTTTTTCCAACCTTAGTCGCAAATATTAATGTTCATTTTGAAAGTGTTCATTTTGAGCAATAACCTGATTAAGTACAGCCAATGCTAAGGATATTAACACGGACTATTATATTACAGATAGCATTTGAGCGTCAAGGTATCATGGATCTCTAGCGTAGAGGTAAGAAAGCAGACCCGCAACAAAATGAGAGGGTTCGAACCTGGGCAGGGTCGGATGTTTTTAATCTTTTTTCGTATACTAGTTAAAATGCGTCCGCTCTATAAATTGAGGCATGTTAATTTGGTAAAGTGGTACTGCAAATGCGTCACAATTGGCTTGCGTTACATAGCTTCATACGAGAAGTTAAGAGCTCCAGTTTTAAAATGAATTACTGGGAGGACAGATTAAACCTACTAACTCTAATTTTAGAAACATTCTTAACTGGTGCATTGCTTTTCTGCATTTTTATGAGTAAAAATGTTTCTTGCCGATTTTCGAAAATTGAAGTTTACTAAAAGAAGCCAGTTTTTTTTCTGTTTTCTTAATGCTTTGGACCATGATTTGGTTTTTAAGAGTAATGAACGTAGTGAAGACTCTTAGATAGGTCTTGCTGATTTTTTTTTTTTTTCATCAGGAAAAGTCTTAAAAGTCTCTAATAACTACAGATGTGCATTCATACAGATTGATGCATTTATGAATGCACTTAGGTATATATGCACTTTTTTTAGTTCAATTGAAATTCAACTGCTGAAAGTGACGTAAACGTGGAAATGGCGCGAAACAACATGAACGATTTCTAGTTTCAAAAGTGGAATTTAATTTTTAGATTTCCAGCGAAATGAAAACTTTACCTATTGATCCAATTTTCTCTTGTTGGCTTCTTGTTATCAATAAAGCGCCAATCATAAATTGTTCTAGAAATTCCAAGAGCTTAAATGGCCTCTATTTTTTTCTTTGTATTCGAAAGTTTTTTCAAGAAAGTCAGTTTTTTTGTTTACTTGCGTTCATTACTGTTTTTTTTATCTTCGATTGGCTATGTTTTCTTTTTTTTTCCTCTCGATCGCAAGAAAAAATAAATGGAGATTTGTCTTGAATTTTTCTACGTGCATTAATGAGAAATTTAAAATAATGATTTTGTGATTGCCAAAATTGTTTTCCCGCTTATAACTAAAAGATTTTTTAGCCTGGTTTGAGTTTGTCATATGTGCTTTTTAAGATTTTTTATGTCAAAGAATGGTTGCGTTTTGTGTGCTCCAGATATCCTCAGAAGTTTTGAAAAATGTGTCAGTTTTGTTTTGTCATTTTTAAACAAAGGATAAGACTGGTATATGTTTTTTGTATCGCAAGTGATGCGAAGCTAGCTTCGCTTCGCCTATGTGTAGAAAACTGCAACACGGGATAAAATTAACAGACTGTTTTTGTTCATGGTAAAGCTTGAGAGCCGTCTGGAGAGTCTTTCTTTTTTGCTATTATATTTTGCAATTGAATTTTTGCTATATATTTTTTTTGGGAATTTTTTCGCTTTAGGAGTAGCCTACTCGACCAGATGCAAAAAGTGTTCCCCTGGAACTTACCAGGCGGAAGAGGGGTCACATGAATGCAAGAAGTGTGACGTGGACACCTACTCGCCCGTGGAGGGATCAACACAATGTACAAGTTGCTTATCTGCATCACAGTATGCAAGTAAGTTGTATTAGCATAGTTTTTTTTCATCATTTTGCTCATAAAGTGAAATAAAAGGAGAATTGCAAACTACCTTCAGTGAAAATTTACAAATAACGATAAGAACCAGATTATATTTGCGTAATTTCCCAAATAATTCAATTCGTCATTTGTTTGAAGAAAAGTAGCAAGTAGCTCTCTATCATCAATGACCTAGCGATTTAGTAGTTAAACAGCAAAAATGATTAAATTAAACAGACCGAACAAATTCATGTAAATTTACACTTGCGAGAGCAAGTGTCTTGTTGATTTGATGCCCTTTTAGAAATGTTGGAGAATCTAAATCTGGTAGTGGATGGTTTCGTTGTTAAATTGGTCCAAACGATCACATACGTTGAATAGGGTCGTAACGCAGAAAAAATAGTTTACGATGAAGTAAGAATAAAGACGGAAAAAACTAACCGATTCTAATTTTAATTGATTTAGTGTATGGCGCAGACAAGTGTGAGACTAGGCCGATGTGCACAGAGGCCGACTACTATAAATTCCATGGGCCGTGTATCGACGGAAAGGTAGACTAGTTACTTTATCTTAGAAGAAACCTTTAAAGGTCAGTTAGCGGTGTTGAAATATCTCTACACCGGTTAGACCTTAAACAAAGACCGTTTTTAACACGAAATGGTTTTTCTGCAATTCGCATAAATCTGAAACTGGACTGTTTTGAGAGCCTTTCGAAGCTGCGTCAATATAATTTAAGTTGTGGATATTTGACATGCCAAAGTTACGATTTATGAATGGAAATAGCTAATGAATTTAGCTATGCTAAAGGTATTTAATTTTTTTAGACTATTGAGACTTACGAATGGATTGAGCCGAAAGTCTGCCGAGGAGATTTGCAAGGTGAGCTCAAAATGAAATTACTTCTTAATGTCATTGTTCCGACTTTCGTAACGAAAGTAACGGAATATTTGTGCTTGGGGTGGGTTTTTTTTCTTCAGACAAATTTTGACCTATTAACTTGGACGAGATTTTTATATCATTCGGGTTGACGGGTATTGTCCTGAGCTTAGACTTGAAAAGATATTTCACCTGTGGTCATTTTTGTAAAGTTATGGGGGTTTAAAGATTGCCATTTTGGCCAATTTTGAACAATTAACGCGGGATATATTTAGAGCTATTAACGCGTAAGCGGAAATTTAATCTGTCTTAGAAATCGTTCCAAATTGGTTGAAAGACTCTTATTTGCCATAATTGATTTGTTACTAGGAGCGAAATTTATCATTTTGTACATTATATGGCGTGTGGGGAGATGAATTTAACAAAAAATGTCAAATTAAAAAAAAATCATTTTATTATATTTAATTTTTTCATGCTGTTACTGCGCAATAGACATTAAGAGGCAGTCGGAAAATCCCAGATCGTGTCTGGGAATTTGTGTCTCAGACATTCATGTCCAAGTTCAAAATGCAAACAAGCATAGCTAGTTACTGTGCAAATAGCACAAAATGTTCCGACCATAGTCTTTAAAAAACTACAAGAAAAAGCTTGTGGTGGAGTTTTTTTCTGCGTGGGGTGATAAAAATGTCTAATATAAAACTATGTTTTTGGCATATTTGTTATTCATAGTAATATAGGCAAATTAGACACATTTTGTTAAAGAAAATTGACTGGAATTTTTTTTGCAGGAAACTTTCCGATTTTTTTTTGAAGTTTTTGGTTCCCAAAATGGAGCTAACAAACTCTACAAACTAATTTTTACTCGTTTTTAGGGCTTAAATTTTGCATAATTAAGCTGCTGTATGCCTGATCGCTAGCTTTATCCGCTTGAAATTAGACGAAAAATCAAAATTTTCAAACCGGTTTTTCTAGAGAGAAACTTATTGAGAATTTTTAAGTGGTTTGAATCACAACGGAAAGGTCTTTAATTTGATATATCACTAAACCCTGTCTGATGATTGTTTGTGGTACTTGATTTTGCGTGGAAAACAAAAATAAAAAAATCCAAAAACGCCCGAATAAAAAATTCCTCCCCATTTTCAATGGTCGGAACAAAATTATCCTAGAAATTTAGTTTCTTGATTAAATTGTCCGAAAAGTGTCCGGGCAATTGCCACACTAGTTAAGGACTTGATTAACTCTCAATAAGAGGGATTAATTCGATAAGGCCACGCAACTGCAATTAGACCAGATTTTTCTTCGAGTAGCTTATTAGAGATAAAACAAAAGCCAATTGATCCATGTTCATTCATTCGTTTCGAGATTTTCTAAAGCATAAGTCATACGCGCCTAATTTTAGAACATTTCTTGCTGCATTTATTGAAGACCTAAGCATATGCTAAGCCAGGTTCTATGATACAGCGATTAAAGACCAGCAGTTTGTGTATATTGTACTTAAAGAGACAGGCGTTTCGCGATTCTGGGTAGAGTATGATTTTTCTGTTTGTATTGATTTCAACCGTCGTGTACAATTTATGCGCTACTTGAAAAAAAATTGGTGAAAAGGATAAATATTTTAATCATTATTTAGAGTCGATGACCGTAGTTCAGACTCTAGTGTAGTTCGTGATGTTTTTGTTCCGACTTTCGATACGACAGTAACCGAATATTTGTGCTCGGGGTGGGTTTTTTTTTTCTTCAGACAAATTTCGACCTTTTAACTAGCCATTTTTGACGGAATTTTTTTAATCATTCAAAAGGTATTGTTGTCCTGAGCTTAAATTTGAAAAGATATTTCACCTGTGATCATTTTTCGTAAAGTTATGAGGGTTTAAAGGTTGCCATTTTGACCAGTTTGGGACAATTAACGCGCGATATAATTCGCGCTATTAACGCGTAAGCGGAGATTTAATCCGTCTTAGAAATCGTTCCAAATTGGTTGAACGAAGCTTATTTGCCATAATTGATTTGTTACAAGAAACGAAATCTATCTTTTTGTACTTTATATGGCGTCTGGGGGGATGATTTTCATAAAAAATTTCAAATTTTAGAAAAAAAAATTTTCATTTTATTTTATTTACTTTAATTTTTTAAATGTTTTTACTGCTGCTCCATAAACCTTAAAAGGCAGTCGGAACATTCAGGGCTTCGCCCTGATACGAGCAGTCTTGTTTTATTTTCGTCTTTTTTTTTCAGAAAGTCTAAAATTTGTTCAAGCTAAATTTTTGAATTTTGGAAGCTTTGAATTTTGGTTTATTTTTAAGTTCAGTGCATTTCTTTTGTTAAAAGGATGATAAACTCCGATATCGAACAGCAAACGTCTAAAGGTCACGAAAAACATGATCGACTTCTAATTTCGAGAGAGGATTTTAATGTTCAGATTTCCCAACGCTATTAACATTTCATTTTTATTCCAAATAGGGTTAATTTAATCAAAAAAACATCAATCATAAGTTGTTTTTGAAGTTGAAAGAACTTAAGGGGCTTATATTTTTTCTTTAATTTTCGAAAGTTAAAGTATTCAAAAAACAAGTTATTGTTTTTTTTCTATGTCTTAGCGTTCATTACTCCAACTGACAGTTGGTTATGCTTTTTCTTTTTACTTGCGGTATCATTAGTATCGTATGGGAATAATTTTTCCAAATCAAAAAGGTAATAATATCTGTGGTAGCTGACTAATGGTGGTTGTTGTTGCAAGGTACTTCAGGTGAGAACGTGCAAATGAAATGTCGTACTAACTAGTCATATCACGTGATCATTTAATTGCTGCACGTCATTAGCATCAATCATAACTAAAACTCGATGAAATAACTTTAATCTGTATTTGTGTTGTATGAGCTTTCCAGTAACTGTTTTTGTGTTTTCACTTGGCTGACATTTATTTATTTTTCCTTCACACCGAATCCTTTTTTTAAAATAGTTACATGTTTATAGCTATTAAAGCGTTTTAGTTGTTTTTATTTTGATAAATGATTGCATGAGCTTTTTTTTCCTATGCAATTGCTGGAATATCAACCGCAGCAAAGCTTTCGATAAAGAAATTTCATTGATATGTCTAACCGCGGCGAAAAAATAGCGACTGAAAGATACTATTGTCTACAAGATCAAGTTTTGGTTTGAATGTCCTTTGCAATGTGATTGAAATAGTATGCTAATGTTGCTAAGACCATTCAGAATTCATCATGCCCGCGAAAGATTTTATCAAGTTGTATGATTATTAATTGTTCACTATATCTTCTCCTTCAACTGAAAGGCAAAGTATGTATGTTGACCAGGGTCAGTTCAACTTCCTTCTTCGGAAGACTACCAAGAGTGTCCTCTTTGCAATCCCGGAACCTACAAATCCACACCTTCTGCCAATTGCACTTTCTGCCCAGAGGGCGAATGGTCCAATGGTACAGCACCCTGTGCCAAGTGTCCAGCTAAACATAAAGCCGTGCCAGCCTATATTTTCGACTTCTGGGACGGAATCCCGCCCAATACGGAGATGTATTGCTACAGTGTGTCGGATATGGGATGCGCGAAGAACTCGATTGGATGGACCTTCTCGAATGATGTTGTGGTAAGAACGTGTTATACTGACTAACAGCTTTTGCAAGCAGGAGCTATGGCGTTATGTTTTTTTTTGCTGCGCGGTTTTTGCACCCCAAGTAAATGTGAGACTTGCCTGTATATGACTATATACTAAAAACCCACTCTAGCACTGAATCGGAATATAACAGAGCATTTTGAAAAAACACAGGTATCGAGACACACAGGTCCGATTTTTTGTATTTTAGACGTGTTTAGACTAGCCAGCGTAGTTGTTTTAGTTTGACTTTTGTTTTCGAGTCCGACATCAAAAATTTTTCTAATTCAAGGCTTATTTTTACTTTTTCTTATTAACACTAATGAACTGTAGTGAGCAAATGTTAGTGCAACTTTTGGGTCACCTTTGCGGTTTTTTGATAGCATGTACTTCACAGTTGATGTATTTTAATGCATCAAATGAACATGAAAAAGCTTATTTGTTTCAAACAACATAACAATCATAAAAACTTGATTTTTGAAATGCATAATTTATACATAATGTGGCTTTATGCTTTCCAATTTATTACGTGCAAAATTAGTGTGTAAACTTTCAGTTGGTTATTTTCCAAACGTTTACTCGCAAAACTGTGTGTCCATTTGTATATGCTGCATAGCATTGTATGGTTCTTTTCCAGTTTTTCTCCTTTGATTTTTTTTTGAAATCCATTTTACAAAAATCTATTCAAATTGACTTTTGATGCTCCAAACTGCAATAAAACGCGTAAGCGTGAACAAGTGAATAGATTGTTACAAAATTTCTTGCATGCAAATTGCCGTTTGAACAATTTTTCAACAATTTCATTTTGTAATTTTACTAGGGGAGTGGGAAACTGGAAAAGAGCCCATTGTATTTGCTGCATACGTAGCAAAGTTCTACTAATTCGAGATTGATTTTTCTTTTTTTTGTTCCGACTTTCGATACGAAAGTAACGGAATATTTATGCTCGGGGTGGGTTTTTTTTCTTCAGACAAATTTCGACTTTTTAACTAGCCATTTTTGACGGAATTTTTTAACATCATTCGAAAGGTATTGTTGTCCTGAGTTCAAATTTGAAAAGATATTTCACCTGTGATTATTTTTCGTTAAGTTACGGGGGTTTAAAGATTGCCATTTTGGCCAATTTGGGACAATTAACGCGCGATATATTTCGCGCTATTAACGCGTAAGCGGAGAGTTTATCCGTCTTAGAAATCGTTCCAAATTGGTTAAACGAAGCTTATGAACCATAATTGATTTGTTACAAGGAGCGAAATCTATCCTTTTGTACTTTGTATGGCGTGTGGGGAGATGATTTTCGAAAAAAATTTCAAATTTTAGAATTTTGTTTTTATTTTGTTTTATAATTGAGTTTTTAAATGTTATTACTGCTCCATAAACCTAAAAAGGCAGTCGGAACATTCAGGGCTTCGCCCTGATACGAGCAGTCTTGTTTCTTTTTATAAAGCAGCTGTTTTGTCGTTTTCTCGCTAAGGTTTGCGAAGCGTAGTTTCGCTCTGTGTTTTACCATGAAAGAGACGTACTTTCACGTTCTTTCTGAAATGAGAAAAGGTTTCAAATCATGTGATCTGTTACCAATTCATCTATGAGGAATAAATAAATGCTGTTTGCCTGGTGGTTCTATGTAAAAATTACCATGTTTTGGTACTCAATTCTTCTTGACTTTTTTGAAGCACAAAAAAACCCCAGGTGGAGCATTGAACACGATTAATTATTCGCCTTTTCCAGAAAGGGTTAAGAGTAAAGCAGCTCCTTTTAATCTAATAATCGACTTTATTCTGTAAACTGTTCTTCAGCTGACAAGTGTGGGCAACGGGGATGACACCATAGCCATGATGGAGATATTTGTGGGGGGTTTCCTGCTGACTCAGCGTCAAGTGTGGGGTCAAGTGGTACCGGTTGGCACTGTGGAGTTCGTGTTCGAGATGGACTGCTCTGACTCACCAAAATGCACACTCTTCTTCGGACAGGTAAAATAAAATAATTTTTCTGGAATAAATAAGTTGTAAATAAGTCTTACAATTTTTCCGTTTGCTAGCTATACATGCAAAAAGTACTATTAACCAATTTTATAAGCGATTATTACTCTTGCGAATAAGCAAAGGTATTGCAACCGGGTAATATACTTTTTTTCCGTAAACAACTTTGGTCACAGAATAGTGAATATATTTAGAAAGAAGTTTGAAATGATAATTTTACAAATATGCAGCTTATGCAGCGTACTTGTACTGACTGTATAGGGCTTGTATTGTAGCGGGTAGATGCAAATTTTTGTATGATTTTTGTTTACTGAAAATGTTTCGGCTGTTTTTCAGCTGATTACGTGTCGGCTTATTTGCCTTATGTTTTTTTCAAGGTTGTTTTCAGTCGTTTTTTTAATTTAATTAAACTTTGATAAGGTATATTTGGAAGTTTGAAATTGAAATCAATTCTCCGGCCTTCTTCGATAAACGTTAGAAAAAATCATGAAAAAATTGTCGAGTTTTTTTTTGAATTTTTTATTGAGTTTTTTTTCTCTTTTCAATAAAAACTTTGTTCGGATATTTTCCTCAATACTCTTTGATCGGCCTGCTGTTCTTATTAAGAGAAATGAACGTAGTGAGTACTCTTTTATAGGTCTTGGTGTTTTTTAAATTTTCTTTCAGGAAAAAGTGTTAAAATTTGTTCACGTTCAATTTTGATGTTTCGCGGTGTTCTTTTTAAGTTCAGTGCATTTGCATTGTTAAAAGGAAGGCTAACTTCACCATTGAACAGCAAAAGTGTGAAGGTCACGAAAAACGTGATCGACTTCTAAGTTCGAAAATGGAAGTTATTTATCAGATTTCCCAGCGAAATAAAAGTTTCACCTATTAATCCAGTTTTTTCAAATTGGTTTGTTTTAAACGAAAAGTGTCCATCATAAATAGTTCTACAAATTTAAAGAGCTTTAAAGCCATCTATTTTTTTCAAGTCAGTTTATTTAGTTTTCTAGTGTTCATTACTTTTTTCCAACTGTCAGTTGGCTATGTTCATATTTTTTGGCGAAGGTATTTAAAGTCATGATCATAATCGCAATTTGCTTGCTGTAGTTTTCAATCATTTTTTTCTCATTTTCAATCAATTTTTATTTTGCTTCAAGTGTTTTTTAGCTCTATATTTTTGTAGAACGATAAATTCTCTAAACAAGAGGCTCAGTTTTTGGAGGCCCTAAGTGCTAGCACATCGCAAACTACCTTTAATTTGTTTGTTAAAAATTGTTTGTTTGTAATAAAAAAATTCGAAAATTACGAGTAAGATTTAATTTCAAAATAACAAAACTGGTTTGTTTGCGCTATTTGTTTCTAGTACACTTAAGGTTTTTCTCTCCTTCTGTGCAGTTTTTTTTTCATTTGCAATTCAAGTTTAGGCAGGCTAATGTGATGTAGAGGTGTTTTGTTTTTACACCAACCAAACTTGATGAAAGCGAAAAAAATGAAATGGACGACAGTTTTTTCGCCATCATTTTTCTTTTGGATAATTTTTTTGTTTTAGTTTGTTCGGACTCCTGCGTAGATCGTGATGAGTTTTTCGTTTTTTTTTCAGGATTTTGATTTGTTTTTAAGCTCACTTGATTTTCTATGTTAACAGGAAGGCAAACTCCAATATCGAACAGTAAAAATGTAAAGGTTACCAAAAACGTGATTGGCATAAACTTCGAAAAAAAGTTTTGAATTATCAGATATACCAGCGAAATAAAAATGTTAACTATTGATCCAATTTTCTCAAATTGGGTTAATTTTAACAAAAAGTGTCAATTTTATCAAAAAAGGGTAATTTGTTCTAGAAATTCAAAGAGCTTTAAGGGCATCTTTTTTGTCTTTGAAATTTACAAGTTGAAATTTTTTCAAAAAAAAGTAAGTCGCGTATTTTTTTCTGTTCACTTTCGTTCATTGACTCTTTTCCAATTGTCTGTTGGTTATGGTTTAAATAATAGCCTGTATTTAGCAGTGCAGTTATAACATTTTAGTTTAATTCGATAAATGTTAGAATAAGCTTTTTTCCCATTACAATTAAGGGAGTAGCTGAACCGCAGCAAAGTTTTTTCATGAAATTTTACTCATCCATCTAACAGCGGCGGAAGAATACCGACTGATAGATATCACTGTCTATAAAGTTCAAGATTTGAATGTCGTTTTCTATGAGATTAAAAAAGTATGCTTATGTTGATTAGACAATCCTGAGTTCATCAGGCCCAAAAATGATTGCCAGTTGCATGATTATTATTTATTCAATATAATTTTTTAAACTGAATGGGAACATAGTCAGTTTTCTGTTTCTTGCGTTCATTGAATCTTTTCCAACTATCTGTTGGCTTTTTTTAAAAATAAGTAATGTTTAAGAGTCAGCGAGTAAAAGTCAGTATTTGAGTCAGTGTAGTCAAGACCATTATCAAAGTCGTGATTATTTTTTTTTCAGGAAAAGTCTTACAATTAGTTTGAACTCAATCAAATTTGATTTTATAGTGGCTCGACTTTTGATTTCTTTTAAAGTTCAGTTCACTTTGTTTACGCGAGCGTAGCGTAGTGTGATAGTACGATGCAACTTTCCCCCAACCTAACTCGCAAATAAAAGTGTTACTTGGTGGCTCTTTTGAATTGCCTCTGTGTCGCAAAAGTTTCAATAATAACTTGTTCTTGAAATTTAAAGAGCTTTAAGGCCATATATTTTTTACTTTGAAATTCGATAGTCGAATTTTGTTTACCAAAAAGCAGTCCATTTTTTCCTGTTCTCTCTTTGACTCTTTTCCAGCTGTCAGTTGGTTATGTTTAAACTCATATCAGTGTTTTGATTATATTAAAGCGCGATCAGTCCTGGCTCAAAAATTAAAAAATTTTCTATAAAATTTCCCGTTATCAAGAAAAACCGATTGAAATATATTATTTTTGTCCAATTTCAGGGGAGTAAGAAAGCGAGCGAGTTTTTATAAAGGGCTTTTAATTGTCTAATTCTTGCTATTCAAGTTAAGCCGTGAAAAATTAATTTTACTCCAGTTAAACTAGTTTCCCAAGGATATCTTAGCGCGCCCTTGGATTTTTCGAAGCTCAGGTTTTAAGAGTAATGAACGTATTGAAGACTGTTACACTAGTGGACAAAATTAAGCGCAAATTCAGGTTGTTTCTCTCAAAAATGCCCAGTTTCAAGGATTATTTCGGTCAACTTTCACAGGGAATTAAAACTGTGTTTGCGAGCAGTTTCGCTTGTTTTTTTTTTAGCCTTTCCATTGATTAGCGATGATCAGATTTTTATAGTAAATAAATCAAAGATTGATTAGTCTGATTTTAAACGTTTTCAAATGAATCCAAGAAACTAACTCTATCTTAAATAATTCGCGGTAGAATTTTGTGTTTTTGAAGTTGACAATGTTTTGTATCGTTTGTAGAGCGAAGCTCTGCTTCGCCTGTGTATAAAATTTGCCACGATTTGCGAAAAAACTGCTAGCTTCATGATTTTGGCATCATGCTTCATGATTTTGGCAACACTTTTAGAAAGACGCGAGTGTAATCAAAAAGGTTTGTATGACATCTAGGGAGGAACGTTACATGCTCTATCGAAAAAATTATAATTCAACTCAGCAAAAAGTTTCTATGAAGCTATGATGCCATCTTAAGCGAATTTGAAAAAAAAACATCCTTAACATGTTCAAAACTAAATAGCAAACAAGACTGCTCGTATCAGGGTGATGCCCTGAATGTTCCGACTGCCTTTTAAGGTCTATGGAGCAGTAATAACATGAAAAACTTAAATGTAATAAAATAAAATTGTATTTTTTTTTAAAATTGAGATTTTTGTGAAAACACCCCCCCGCTTGTCACATTAAGTACAAAGTGATAAATTTTGCTCCTATTAACAAATCAATTATTGCATATAAGTTTCCTTGCACCAATTTGGAACGATTTCTAAGACGGATTAAGTCTCCGCTTACGCGTTAATAGCGCGAAATATCGCGTGTTAATTGTCCCAAATTGACCAAAATGGCAGGCAATCTTTAAACCCCCATAACTTTACGAAAATGATCACAGGTGAAATATCTTTTCAAATTTAAGCTTAGGAGACAAATAGCTTTCGAATGATGTAAAAAAATTCCGTCAAAAATGGCTAAATAAAAAGTAGAAATTTGTCTGAAGAAAAAAACCCACCCCGAGCAGAAATATTCCGTTACTTCCGTATCGAAAGTCGGAACAAAAAGTTACTTTTATAGGTGCAAAATAGCAGATATTTTCTTAAATTATATATGACACTCCAGTTAATAGACACATCTCAGAAATATGTTCATGTGACCTCCGATTCATGTTGGCTATGTGGTTGGTTGTTGATTCATGATTTGGCGAAGGTCTCAGCAATAGTTTTTGTATTAAACTGCTTCATTTATGTGTGGTGTTTTGAATATTACGTGAACTGCTTCTTTTTGTTGTAACAAAAACAGTTTATGCTGTTTAAAAGTCGAAATGCTTGTGCATTGACTTTCTATGCCGATAATAAGTTCCACATGAGTCGGCCTAATTGCAGAAATATGCAAATGCTGCTTTTATGGTTCTGTTTATTTTTAATGACTTTATAAAAAGCTCAATATTCCAAATACAATACTTAAAAGCTTCTTCATGCTTGACTATATCAATTTTCCATGCTTGGAACGTTTTCTGCAACTCAATGACATGAGAATTGCACAAGAAATTGATATTTATTTTGTCAAACTTTGAAAGCTGATGTTGAATTGAATGCGGAATTTGACAGAAAAACAAATATTGCAGATGACAGATAACTTATGAATTTCTTTTAAATATGAGAAAACACTAATTATAATGTGATTATGAAAGAACTGTTTTAGAGTATATTTTTGCCAGATAACGATTAAAATTATCCGCGAGGGAAAAGATGAACATTCCTGCTGTTTAGCTCTATGGGGAAAACGGCTGTTGTGACCCTGCTTTAGACTTGCATTTCGATTAATTTTTTTCAAGCAAGTCTCGTTGAATATAAATATAGCTTGAATGTATAGCACATTATTTGTAGATCTTTGGGCTGATCGGGCTTTTCAGTGACGAACATATTGGCATATCGGGAGGTTGCTAATTGGTTTTGTTTTTCAGGATGACGGGGAACATTTTGTCACTGTTAACATGTGGGAAGGAAGCCATGGTCGAACAGTGTACAAGTAAGTAAAGTTTATACTAAAATTTTTTTATCTGACTTTTTAAAGACTTGAAAGCAAGATTTTGTATCATTATTTATTATACCATAAATGTGTGAACGGTTTTAGGATTGCTCCAGGAAAAACGTTTTTCATGTGCTGCAAAGAAAAGGAATTGAAAAATCCGTGACAGAATTTTTTTTTCTTAAGTATGTATTATCTATTTCGTGCCAATGAGCAAAATGAAGACATTCATTTAGGTCCTGGATTTTTTGTTTTTATTGAAAAAGTCTAAAAAGTTGTTCATGCTCAAATTTTTTAACCACATTCAAATTTGTTGCGAAAATGAATTTTCGGAATAAAAAAATTATCTTTTGATCTTTTTCTCAAGTTGGTTTATTTTAGCAAAATTGTGTATTCATGAAAGATTCTTAAAATTCAAAGAGCTTTAAGGCCATGCATTTTGTTCCGAGTTTGAAATTTTTGAATTGTTCATTGACCCTTGTTCATTGACTCCATCTTTTAAAAATTCCTGTGTTGCTTCGATAAAAATGATAAAAACGACAACTAAATGATGGCTTCCGTTATTTAATTTAAGACACGACGTGGTATCGAACGTGGAGCAAAGTTTTCTGTGGGCCTTCCAGAAAACAGATCACCCAGAAATGGAAGAACCCAACCACAATTACCCTAAGACCCAACTCAAAATCCATTCCATCAAAATAAAAGGCACGGTGGACGGAGGCGCTTCACAGTGCGAACCATGCAACACTGCGCAAAAACACGCTGTAGATTTCAGTGATACACGTGTGTGCGAACCGTGCCCCATGGGACAGTTTTACGCACCGCCTCCGAGCAAATGTATGAAATGCCCGCAAGGTAAGATCAACATAATGCTGATTTGTAATAAAATTTTCAGCGGTGTAGCGGCTGAAAAAGTCTGTTTTCACACTGTTTGTGGATAGCTATTGCTTGATGATTTTTTTTAAAGTACCCGTTCTTAATCGATATTTAACTGACTGCAATTTCAAATTTTATAATTTTTCAGAGATGACCAAATTATTTTTCACCTACGTTTGGTGTAATTTCCATGTTTTCAACTGTGGGTTGTAGATGCAGATATTCTCAAAGCCCTTGGCGTAAGACATCCCGAGGGATTAAATAGCGGGGAATTTTTTGACGAGGAGTTCCTTGAAATGGAGCGAGATCGAATGCAACGTGGTAAGGCTTACTGGTGATAGGAGTCAGTGGTGTCTTGTTGTTGCATATAGTCTTGCAGTGAAACTCACTATAGAACTCGCTACTCTTTGGATGTAGTAAAACTCACCGAGATATTACGTAATAGTTATTAGTTATTCTGAAGCTGGTTTCGGGTTGTTTTGCTTTGCTTTGTTTCAATGCTCCTTTCGATATTTAAACCGCAATAAGTCGCAATCAAAAATATGGAAAAACAAACCATATGAGGCGAATATCTTCGCAAAAAATTTATAAACTCAAATTTTGACTAATCAGAGTAGTTTTATGAAGATGAGAGATAACAAGCTTATTGATCTTAAATTTGAGCCAAGTTTTTCTTTGTTATAATATACTAAATGGCCTAATGTATATTTAGATTTCATTGTGAACCCTCTCGGACATTCGGACGACAAATACTGCCTCAAATGCGGCCCTGGGCTCAAATCGCCCAAAGGAGTCACATGCAGATCGCAATGTGAATTCGAACTTCCAGATGGACGAAAACTGGACCTGAAGAAACTGAACAATGGCACTGTGCTCCTGAAGAGCAAACCAGTCTTCACTGACAGTGGATTTGAGTCGTTAAAGTTGTATAACTTCAGTCTCTGCGGGAATCTGAGCTCGGGGAGAGGATTGGCTTCATGCAGTGCGAATGTGTCGAGAGTGTCGCATGATGATGGGAACGAAAGTACAAATACTACAGTTAGTTCTAGTATTATATTTCTTCAAATTGAAGGTATTTATAGGAAATTGTGCGGTAAAAAAAGTTAACATGCCATGAAGTAGACAAGTCGTAAGCCAATCACAATCGAGTGTCATAAGGTAGACAGTCCGTGAGTAGACAATTCGTCACAATCGTGATAAGAAAATAAACGTTCGGATTATTTTCTCTATTCTGATTGGCTTACGACGTGTCTATTTATGGCATGTCTACTTTTTACTTGGGAAAGGAATGAGCAGAACTTCACTATGACAAAATTGAAACGAAGAAAGAGCATAAAATTTTTGCTAAGTTTATTGAAGGTTTAATGAAAGCATTCTGCAAAATTTCCACTATTTATCTGATTTCCGATTCGAAATTGCGAATGCTGAGGTTTTGCTATTTCGAATCAGAAATCAGATAAATAGTTGAAATTTTGCAGAGTGCTTTCATGAAAACAATATATAATTTTATCGAAATTCTTTTGTTGCATAACTTTTAGTGCTTGGTAATATTGTAAAGATGATGTAAATGATCGATTTTTTTTAGTTAATGTGCTCTGATATCATTTGATAATTCTTTTTTAAGATGGGCCCATATGCTTTGGCTGAGTTTGAGTCGAAGAGCAGGAAGTATGGCTTCGTCTGCAGATCAGATCTGTTCCCTCCTAGAGGAGAACTAATGGACACTATCACCGAATACCCTTCTGTGTAAGCAGGCTGATTATAATTTTTTTTTTGCACGAGGCAAGTATAAAAAATGAGAACAAATCGTGTCTCATTTTGATAATTTATTGTTCAGGTTTCATGTAAAGATGTACCGATAATGTTGCATGATGATGTATTGTACGCATCGAATTTATCTAAGCTTATTGTGTCGTCAGTTTTACTGACGAATTATATAAAAGCAGTTGAAAAATGAGAAAAAAAAACTCAAATATGGTGTTAGAAACTTCTCTGAGTGATGATGTAATGAATGATTCGAGCTTGTGATATACGCGTGAATGATGTGTTTTTCTAGGTTGGGGGAGGAGCTGATTGCCGTGACTATGAACAGGAGCTACATGAACTGGAGTGTGCGCACCACAGATGTGAACACGGAGACATTCGACATCAACTTCTACTACGTCGCATTCCAGTTAGTGGACACTTTGCCACCTGTTCTTCTGCTTTAATCAGAAAGCTACTCAGACTGCAACAAGTAGTGTTGTTTGTGCGTAATTACTTAAGCAATACTTGTTTTGGAATTCTAGTCACTTTTTTCCAAGCAAAGTAGCACGTTTCTGTGATAAATTTTTGTGGTTTTCGGAGTTAGTGGCCTCGTTCTCCCGGCGTGGGAGGTTCTATAAGGTTTTTTTTTGTCTCTAGGCTCATTTTTGTTTTTTTTGTTGATTTTTCAGGGCTTCTTAATGTCGTGTTTATGCTTATGGTTGCGAAGTGTAGAATCTAAGTCAACAACTAAAACATGTAAATGTGTCTTCGTCTTTTGAAATTTGTTTTCTACATTTTATGATAATTCATATCAATGTGTTGTTTACTCAATCAACATTTCCGATATTTTCAAACCGAATCTCAATTATCTAGTCGAGTTTTTATGGTGTTCCATTTCAAAATTCCCGTATACTGTCTTTGCATTAGGTCTTTTAGCGATGAGGTCTTTTTCTAGTTCTAGAGGTCTTTATCAACTAAAATTAAGTGTTTTCTGTTTTTAATAAATATAAAGTATTAGTTATTAAGTATATTACAGGCCAACTTACGCCTGTCCCGCGGGTCGTTCTGTCATCCTCACACTCCGTTGCGATCCATACGCCGCAGAAGACATCGATGGTCAAATTAGAGTAAACGCCTCAGATCCCGAGGGAACTGACGATGGCTGTGACTACAACTTCCTCCGCATTTCCAAGTATGCTTGTCCGGTGTGTGACCCGAAGTATGATGTGGATGAGATTCTGGAGGAATGTCACCTGGGGTCACAGAAAGTCAGATTTGTGTGGAGGAACGACAAGAAGTCAGTTATAATATAGTTGAAATAAGCGTCTTGCAATCATGGAGTACATTTTTTTTACGGAAACAATTATTGCTACAAATCTTTTAAGAACATCGACTACTGTATATTCTTGAACATCGACCACTGTAGTCTATTTCCCACATGGTCTAGAGGTTAAGCGGTTGCTTTTGCACCCTAAGGTCTGGGGTTTGCGTCTCGGCCGGGCCTTGCTTTTTTCAGTATGTATGAAATAGAATTGTTTTTTTTTCCGGAAAATTGAATTGTCGGCCTTTTGTTTGATGCTCATGTTTTTTTTTAACTTAATTGCTCCATCATGGATTTTTCTTGGGTTGTAAGAAATTTTCCTGATAGTTGCAAGTATTGTTGATAAACTCCTGCAATTTGTAAATTTACTAGCCCTGATTTTGTATATTTTCCTTTTGCTTTTTCGTTTGAAAGCTTTATTCTGCCTACATGGTTTCAGCTGAAGTTTTATCGGCTTTGCAATTTTTTGTGTCATATGAAAGGCAAAAATTGTCAATTATTGTTTGATGTAGTTCAGACTCTTATATAGATCATGATGATTTTTTTTCAGGAAAAGTCTCATTTTGTTCAGGCTCAAATTCAGTTTATTTCTTTTGATAAAGGGAAGGCAAACTCCACTATCGAACAACAAAAGTGGAAAGGACAAGAAAAACGTGATGGACTTCTAGGTTCGGAAATGGTATTTGATTTTGATATTTCCCAGCGAAATAAAAAAAATTACCTATTAATCCAGTTTTCTCAAATTGGGTTGATTTTATCAAAAAAGTGTCAGTTGTAAGTTGTTGTACAAATTCTCAGAGCTTTGAGGCAATCTTTTTTTTCTTCGAAAATTGAGATTTTTCATATTTTTTTGTTTACTTGCGTTATTGACTTTTTCCCAACTGGCTGTTGGCTATATTTTCAATAATTTAGGTCGGTTGTGGTGTAAATTTCAAAGTTGTAAAAAATGATTGCTCTAAGTTCTTTTATGATCACAGTTTCATATGACATTTTCTATTTTTGCTCGCAGGGCTTCTACCCTTCATCTTTTTGGCTTGGTGGCTGCTAAATAGTAGAACTGAAAGCTTATTTGATGCTGATAGTTGTGTTTCTCAGCTGAATTCTTCTTCTATTCCAAAAAACTTTTTTTGACTTAGTTATTTCATCTTATTTTCTATTTGCTGGCTTGCTTGTTATGGCAAGTGATGCGAATCTTGGCTTTGTCTCTTTTAAAAAAAAAATTGAGAGCGAGTATTGCAAATGGGGTATTAGCTTTTTAAACCGTTGAAAGCTCTGTCCACAGAATTCGCGCCTTAAGTACTCGTGCGCCTTAAGTACATAGTTCGAGTCTGGTCGTATCTTTTCGCAATTTTCTAATGTAGGACTATTAAGAGTAAAGAACGTAGTGAAGACTCTTTTATAGGTCTTGGTAATGGAAAAAGTTTTAAAAAGCTCTATTAACTCAGATGTGCATTCATACATATAAGTGCATTTATTATGCATTTTGTGGTATATATGCATTTTTTGATTTGTACTAGTAAGCGTTATCAGGTCCAAATAGGCTTTTTTCGGGTTAACAGCTTGTTATGCAACACATGCGCTGACATGCTCAAATTCCGCCTAAATTTCGGCGTATCGTTTGTCTAATTGTTATGTGTCTGCTTAGTTGCCCCATCACATTTTTTTTTGTGCTGTGAGCATTGTTCATTGTAGTGGTCAGTGTTTTGATTTATTCCTGTAATTTGCAAACTTACTAACCCTTACTTCGCTTAAAAGGCCTGCTCGGCTTAACTTATTCCGCTATGTTTTTATCGACTTTGTGATGTCCGGAATTACACAAAAGGATTTGAGCTACAAATTACTTTATAGCTCAAAATTTTCATGACATCAATTTTGTTTTCGGCCCAACGAGAGTTTGCTTAAGTTTGTTGGCTTTGTTGTCGCCCGCTAACGTTTCCTTCATTATACTTATTTTACGCCGGCGATAGTATTTAATTGAACCTGATTTGAGACAAAATTATGAAAGTTTTGTAATTGTTTTTTTTCTTCATTTTTTGGTCTGGTGGCTTTCACCTTTTTTTGTCTGCTAGCTTGTATTGCTAAATTTCTGTGGCATTAATTGTGTGGATAATTTGTTTTGTCTATGTCTTTTAAATCCAGAGTTTTTTTTTTCTTCGTGAAAAAGAAGGCAAACCTCACTATTTTTTTTTTCGGTTTCCTTGTTCTTTCAAGTTTTCCCAACCGTTGTTGGCTTACTGGTTTCGACTAAAATTAAACCTTCTTCGTTTCTGGTGTGTATAAGTTTATTCTTTTTAAAGTTATTGCTTTTTTTCTTTAAAGTTTTCCTTGCCTAAGTTTGTTTAATGGGTTTTCAGTTTCATCCATGAACCCAAATAATTCAAAAAAATTTAAAATGATTATCGAGTCTTTCACCAAGAAACTTTGGTCCAAGTTACGGGAATGCATCTGATTATATCCTATTTTTGATTTAAAAATACTCTGTGCACTCAAATAAAACCGCACAATTTTTTTTATTGGAAACTATCTTTCATGCAATTAAATTTTTGTGCTATCAAGGCAGGGTAAGCTCAATATTGCAATGTTCTGTAGTATTTTTTGAGCTGATTACAATTTTTTTTTAAAAAAAATCAGTTTTCAATTCACCAATTGTTTTTCACTTCTATTGATTTTACAAATTTAGTTGCTTATCACGAGCAATTGTTTTTCTTGATAAATCTACATTTCATTTCAGCGAAATATTGGAAATGTGCTTCTTTGGACCCTTAATCACTAATTTTTTAACCATAGTCTTTTTCGTATCGCTTTTGGCGGCAAGCTCCGCTTCGCCTATGTATTTTAATACTTGATAATGGTTGATACTTGTTTTTATAATGGTTGATACTTGTTTTTTATATTAATTTTCCAAGTTCAGCTCAGGTCTCGTAAAATTAGTTGATTATGTGGTCTCGTAAACTTAGTTGATTATGTTTAATTTAAATGTTCACTAGTGAATTAATTTGAACTCTGGAAGCAGTTGGTATCTGTTTAAGGATATGTCGTGATGGAGATCTTCCAAGCACCGTTAATCGAAAATGTCCTTTCTTCACCAAAGAGGTCAGTCCAGATTTTGTATTTAACCAACATGAAAATTAGTTTTTTATTCGTCCTTTTTAAGAAATTTGAGTTTTTCTCATTTCTTAATTTCTTCAGTAGATTAGTCACTTTAATGTTGAAATGGAAAGATTTTTCTGAGTGAATATCTGATGGCCAAAATTGTTCGATGTCAATGAAATTTTTACGAGTACATATTGTATAATTGAATCATCTTTCTAAATTATACTGAATTTGAGAGAGGTATACCATGGTAATGGTACGATAAGATGAATGTTCCCCCATTTATTAAGAGTCGATAAACGTAGCTCAGACTCTTGTATAGGTTGCGATGATTTTTTTCGTTTTTAAGAGTAATGAACGTAGTGAAGACTCTTAAATAGGTCTTAGTGATTTTTTTGTTTTCTTTTTTCAGGAAAACTCTAAAAGTCTCTAATAACTACAGATGTGCAATCATACATATTGATGCATTTATGAATACACTTAGGTATATATGCACTTTTTGAGTTCAATTGAAGTTCATCTGCTATAAGTGATGTAAATAGCACTCTCCAAATACGAACGTGGAAATGGCGCAAAAATCGTAAAAGGTTTCTAGTTTCGAAAGTGGAATTTGATTTTTAGATTTCCAGCGGAATAAAAACTTTACCTGTTGATCCAGTTTTCTCAAGTTGGGTTAATATTATCAAAAAAGTCCCAATCATAAATCGTTTTAGAAATTCAAAGAGCTTAAAGGGCATCTATTTTTTTTCTATGAAATTCGAAAATTGAAGGTTTTTCAAAAACAAGTCTTTTTTTTCAGTTTCCTTGCGTTCATTACTCTTTTCCAATATTCTATTGGCTATGTTTTTTGTTCAGGTTCAAATTTAATTTTTCGCGGTTTGGCTTACGATTTCTTTTTAAGCTCAGTTTATTTCCTTTGTTATCGAACAGCGAAAGAAAGATCACAAAAAACGTGATTGATTTCCACAGTCACGGGATATGGAAGTTGCAATTTTTTGATTTCAACGAGCAAGTTAACGAATTTTTTCTTCACGTTTTAGTCGTTTTCTCTGCAACTATTTAAGATATAGGGTTCAATTTTTAACACATGCTAGATGAAATTGTTTGGAAGGACTTAGCTGGATAAAAATTAGAGAAGTCTTGTTTCTAAGCTTGAAATTAGCCAATATCTCATAATTAGTTTTTAAGGTGTTTTTGCTTTGGAAAAATCCTCGCAAACAATGTAAAGAATGTGAATTATTGATTTCAAATTATTTCTTTGGGAAGCTGATGAGCTTGACTTACACCTTTTTTTGCTTATAAAGGCAGATGACAGACTTTGAAAAGTTACTTAGCCCGATGTCGAAAAAATTCTAAAATTTATGAATAATTTCTGAGCTGATTTGACCCTTTTTTGACGCCGGGCCAAGCAGCTTTTAAAATTCTGTTATCTGTCGTTTTAGGCGACATGAGGTGTAAGTCAATCTCATCAGCTTCCCAAAGAACTAATTTGAACTCAATAATTCACATTCCTTGTATTGTTTGCGAGGATGTCTCAAAGCAAGAAGACCTCTAAAACTAGTTATGAGATATTGGCTAATTTACGCCTTCAAAACCAGATTTCTCTATTTTTAACCCTGCTAAGTCCTTCCATATAATTTCATCTAGTTTTAAAAATTGAACCCCATATCGTAAAAAGTTGCAGAGAAAGCATTCATTTGCTAGTTGCAATTTCTATGTCCCGTGACTGTATTTTACAAAATAGAATTTAATTATCAGTTTTCTCAGCAAAATGAAAATTTAACCTATTGATCCAGTTTTCTCCAATTGGGTTAATTTTTTCGAAAAAGTCAATCATAATTTGTTCTAGAAGTTCAAAGGGCTTTAAGGCCATCTATTTTTTGTTGAGTTTTTTTCAAAAAATAGTTCAGTATTTTTTCTGCGTTTATTGACTCTTTTCCAACTGCCTGTTGGCTATTTTTCCCCACAAAACCAAAATGGGAATGGGATAAACGCAATAGTTCTAAGTTTTCTTGGGAGTATAAATTAATACATGATAAGGTACTCATTTCCGACTTGAAATTCGCTAAACATGCTGAAAAAAAAAATAGTTTTCAGAATGATGATTTACATCTGTATAAAATTAAAATCAAATATTTTTAAATTTGACGCTTGTTAATTAATGAGTGAGGAAAAAAATTATTCGGCAAGATAATGGAATAAAGTTTCATTGTGTATAGTTAGTTCCAAGTAGTTTCATATGGTTTCAAGTGACTTGACTCATGCTAAGAGTTTCAAATTCCAGGTCCAACTGGCCATAATAGTGGCTGTGATTGTGGTGTTCATAATGGCAGTCATCAGTGCCTACTACTGGCGCAAAACTCAACGACTCGAGTACAAGTACCAGAAGCTGGTCCAGAGTTCTAGCAAGGATGGAACTACCCAGTTCGCAGAGGCGCCATCCTGTGGAATTAGTGAGGATGAAGATGAAGATGATGACGAGATTAATGGTTTTGGAAATGACAAGAAGTCAATCCTCGGAAAATTCAAACTGAAGGTAAAAGCTATCATTATTCTAGAGCTTAATAATTTTTACCAAAAAACGCAGCGTCGTAATCAAGGGCATGAAATCGTTTCCGCCGTCAAAGGTGAAATTTGGAGCATAGAGCTATTTGGTATCAGAGTGTCTGAAACCCTTTGCTATGTATTTTTGTTGCAAAAAGGCTTTTTTTACAATTTAGTTAATTTGAAGTTATGAAGTTTTATAAAATGACCATGAAAACTTATTTGATAGATTGGTTTGAGGAAATAGTTCTGAGAAAATCTTGAATAAAAAAATTGAATCGCAACACTTGATTGTTTTGATATTGTCAATTAAGTAGTTTACAATGGCATGAGGGAAATGTACAAAATTCGTGTATTCTTAACCAATGAAGTAGTATTTTATAATAGAAGTAGAAATTCCGTACTAGGTAAAGTTGGGAGGATAATTCACTAAATCCGTTTTTAGAACGGCAAGGCGCCCTTTAAAGATAATCAGGGCTCAGATGACGAGGCACATGTGAGATTAAACTCAGGTGGCAGATACATTGATGACTTTGAACTAGAGAATTCCGCCAGTCGAATCTAGAGTAAATTACATGCCTGTACAACACCTTCTGATTCCTATCAGATTTACTCGCAGAACACCTTCTGATGCAAACAGATTTACCTGCAGAACACCTTCTGATGCGCATAGGATCTGCCTGCAAACACTTTATGGCTTTGTTAACTGTGGCTCAAGAAATTAGCTACTCTCCAATCAAGTGATCAATACAATCAACAGCTGCCGACTTAATTGTAGACATTTTAGTCTAAAAAACAATCAACGAGACACTGCTGCCGCCGACATTTTCGAACAGGAGGCTATCATAAAAGGACAGTTTCACTTGGCTAGGAAGTACTAATCTATTCACTCTTACCGCTCATATAAAGGAAAATGCTTCTAAGATCAAATCTTTAGCTTGCAGTTTGTCTTTTTGTCCGTTTAATCTTAATTTAAATGTTCAATGTTGTACCTTTTAATGCGCATTATCAGTGTCATATTTATCATCTTTTTATCGCCACAGCAGACTTGAAATTCAAATAAGATTTTTAAAATTAAAACTTTTGATATCGAATGCGGTAAATCAAAATAGATTTTTCATTCAAATCTTTTCAAGTAGTCTTCTGTTTTGATATATGAATGCATCGTCATGATATAAAAGTCACAAATTTATTGAAGCAAGATCGTTTCTGTTAGGGTTTTCTGTAAATTTTAATGCCGATGAATAATTATTGTAAAGGTCATCTTGTGTGTTGTATGAATTAGCTTAAATTGGGTTCTCGTTTTGTTTAACCTGATCCAAACACCTTGCTAGCTAGCTGCTATCGCTTTTTTGTTGAAATCTTATTCATCACTGAATTTTGAAACAGGCTCCTCATCTAACAAGAAAATAAGGCTCCTCATCTAACCACGGAAGGTGGAGTCGTTTAATATTCACGATCAATTTCTCGACAAATGTTTGAAGAAAAATTATTTTCTTAAGTCTGTCGATTTTTTGGATTAAATCAATTGAGGTTTCATTGCTAATTGGCAATTGTACAATCGAAGTGTTTCGTCAACAAAGTTTTCCAATTTTACCCATATCTATTTATTGATAATCAATTCTATGTCTAGCTATATAAAAATTTTATTCTACATGTCTGTGCTATTTTGGTAAAAAGTCAGTCTTCACAAGTTCTCGGCACTTTCAAGGTTTAAATTAAAATGGTTTTGTTGTAAATATTGAATAATAAATGTGGCGTCCAACATCTAGACAATGTATGTATATTTTTGGTTATGGAACTCATCTCAGTTTTATAGCGTTCAATTGAAGTTACATTTCCTACTTTTTTGAAATCGATATAGAAAAGGGAAATTTGCAAGTCGGAATGAGAGCAATAAGTTGTCGCTTTTTTATTGATCAGTTTTTGGCTGAAGTTTCTACTATTACAAACGCCGAATAGACGTTTGAAGTCATCAGAGAGAAATAATGCTCTATAAAAGAATTGTTTCTTCCTTTTGTTTCGACTTTCGAAGAAAGTGCGGAATATTTACGCTTGGTGTGGTTTTTTTATTCCGTCAATTTTCGACTTTTTAACTAATTGTTTTTGACGGAAATTATTTATACAATCTGAAAGATATTGTTATCCTAAGCTCAAATTTAAAATTATATTGCTCATAAGTGATCATTTTAGTTCCGACTTTCGAAGAAAACGGAATATTTATCCTCGGTGTGGGTTTTTATTCAGTCAATTTTCACCGATCGAAATAATGTTTTTCAACAAAACTTTTTTATACCCCATTAAAGATCCTGAGTTCAAATTTAAAAAGATATTTCACCTCCGATTATTTTTTAAGTTCTGGGGGATTGAAAATTGCCAAATTTGCCATGTTCTGGACTTCATTATGCGCGCTTTGAAGAGTTTATTCATAATGATGAAAGAGTAATGCGAATTATTCATGCGTGGCGAATTATCCCGCACAACAAAATCGTTCCAAATTGAATTGAGGCTAGCTAATTGGTATTCGTATTGATTTCTTACGACTCAAAATTTTACTCTTTGATATTGTCCAAAATGTAAAGGGTTTCAAAATGTTCTTTTCCCAAAAACTATTCGATATGAATTAGGGAACAGTCGGAACATTCAGGTCTTTGCCTTGATATACAAGCAGTCTTGTTTGTAAAGTTATGGGCGTTTGAAAATTGCTAATTTGGCCAAATTGTGATAATTAAATGCGATATATTGGAGTAAATGCGAGTGAATGGAGGCCAGCAATTTAATCTCATTAGCACAATACGAGACGCTAAACAGACCCTTAGTTTTTAACATAGCGTGTTAGGGTGGGGGGATAAAGGAAAAAATGAAAATTTTTTCGCTCAATAATTTTGCCAATTATTCAACCAAAAAAAAGTTTTCATTTGACCTTAAGTGCACTCGGAACATTCAGAGTTTTGCCCTGATATACGAGCAGTCTTGTTTATGCATAACAACTTCTTCCAATATCTTAAAATTCAATACACAAGTTTAATTGGCATTGATTAGCCGACTGCTGTGCAAGTAGCCAGATTTTTCAATCAGTGAATAATATTTGAGAATTCCTCAATAAATGCTGGCGGTTAAATAAACTGAGTGCTACAGTATTTTAAAAAAATCCTGAAACGGAATGTTAAATTAAAATAAAAGGAATAACATCTGAAATAGTGTTAATGTGTCACAAAAGTGTGACAAATCGATCCTTATTTGAGGGGCCTGAAATCAAGGTTCTGAACAACCCTTGTGTTAATAAAAACAAAGACAAATTATGCACTCAGTGTTTCGATCACTCTTGACAAAAATGGTTGAAATCATGTGTCTTTCTGCCATATTCCAGGAATATCAAGATGGATGTGATCGTGGATTTGGAAACATGTATAGTTTAATTCACATGTTTTTTATATTCGATGTATTCAAAGTATCCCTAGCAGTGATGACCATGCAATGAACAATTTAAATTACTCTATATTTCTTCCGACCACTCTCGAAGAGTGAAGGAAGGAATTTTAAGACGTTTTTTTTCCAGCCGGTTTTGGATACCTCAAGGAAAACTCATATGGGAACAAGTGTGGTTTCGTATTTAAGCCCTTTCGGTCTAATTTGGATTCTAAAAAGAAAAATTTAAAAGATTCCCTGTGTCGAATAAAGTGGTCAAAATTTTTTTATTTTCCGACTAAATTTGATAAGGCTGGCCTTCCAAACTTAATTCTTTCAGAAGTTTCACGCTTTGTTAAGGCAATTTTCTAAATATAGTTGCCGTTCTTTCTAGCATCGTTCACCTTGTTAAGATTCATGATCGTTGTGATTACTCTTATATAGGTCTTGATGATTTTTTTCAGGAAAAAGACTTGAAATTTGTTGACGCTTAATTTTGATTTTTCGCGGTTGGATTTGTGATTTCTTAAGTTCAGTGTATTTCCATTATTAAAAGAAAGGCAAACTCCGCTATCGAATAGCAGAAGTGTAAATGTTACGAAAAACATGATCGACTTCCTGTTTTGAAAGTGGATTTTATTTATCAGCTTTTCCAGCAGAATAAAAAAATTTACCTATTGATCCAGTTTTCGAATATGGTGAATTTCATCAAAAAAAGTGTTAGTCATAATTTGTTCTTGAAATTCAAAGAGCTTTAAGGACTTAATTTTTTTTCGACAATTAAAGTTTGTTCAAAAAATAGTCCGTTTTTTCTGTTTGCTTACGTTTTTGACTCTTGGCTGTTGGGTGTTTCAATTGCCCTTTCTATAAAAATAATCAACAATTTTTTTATTTTAGAATTTTTTTTTTAGTTTTAGGGATGTTTTCTTAAATAAATGTGCACGGAACTTTCTGTGCTGCTTTCATATTGACCGGCTAACTTTGTTTTCTTTTGAGCTCCAAATCATTTATATGTAAAAACTGTGCCAAAAAAGTAGCGAAAAACCGTCTAAACATTTTTGATTTTGGGTCTAATTTTGAGCGAACAAATCGAGCAAGCAGGCTTATGATACTACGATACGGAGATAAGACGTAAAATTTTAATTTTACTCTAGGAATGTTAATTTTCGAAGCTTATGTAAGCGCCATCTTGAGAACAGAACAATCCTTAGAAAGAATTGTTGTTTTTTATTAAATTTTTTTTGATAAAAAACGTTTTCAAACATGCGTGTTCTACTCTTACTATCGAAAGTAATTATTTTCTAATCTGTTATTCAGATCCGATTATAAACAAGCGAACAAAAATATTCAATTTGCAAAGCAAAATGTTTTTTATTTATTTTGTGGTTGGAACTTTGTGCTATTTGCACAGCATCCTTGTTTTTTTTTGCTCATGGAAAAGTTTGTTTATTTTCGAAAATTTTCTTATTGGACTATCCTGTATATGCTTATTTTTTCGACATAATTCCCTAAGCGATTCCTTTTTATGAGTTGAACCTTTTGAACCATTTCAAAATATTTCAAGGATTTTTGATGGTGCAGGTAATTCAGTTTCTAGATTTGTATTTTGGCATTTTTTGTATCAAAGATTTCATTTGTTGAACGGTTTCGCTTGCTATATTAGCTTCGTTGCCTTATATAACGCCGTTTGAACAACGTAAATAGATTTGGAAGTTCAAAAATGATTTCAGCTGTAAAATTCGTATGGCCATTTTTGCCGGCCAGATTTACTGTCCATATTCATTCACATTCATACAGAGTTGATCTCTTGGTTACTCAGGCGTCGCTCCACGGTTCTTAGTCAGTTTCAGAGGAATTATTTCAGAAGTAAAGTTGGAAGCGAAATTCCATTATTTGAGAAGTGCATGTTTTACACGGTTATGAAAAATCGGTTTATTGATTTTAACCAAAGCTAATTGAAAAAGCAAGCGGCACATTCAATGTTTGAATTTGACTCGATTTGTTTTGTCTCAAGGAAAAAAAAGTCTACCGAGAAAGTGTGATGAAATTTTGTTTGCTTTTAAGTGAAAACTTTACAGCTCCCTGCATGTATTTATGTTATCTCAACCATCCTATTCTTCCCTTCCTATGAAAACAAAGCTTAATTTAATTTCTGCTTTCACAAATTGGTTTTTTGATTCTAATTTTTCCGCAATTTCAGAAAGCTATGGTTTGACTACTTGTTTAATTCCGGTCAACGGAAAAACATCAAACGGACACTCAATAAGGTCACAAAAACAATAAAACAGTATCGGAAAATGCTGGACGTTTTTGAATCCTTCTTGAAAGAAAACTTTTCGGCTGACGACAATACAGTTGCCAGTGTGTTCCGGGCATTCGATCAGGACAATGACCAGGTGTTGAATCGAGAGGAGTTTGAACTGTTTATCCAGCAGCTGTTTCAGAAGACAGCTCACATCTATAATCTGACAGCTCAGCAAGTGGAAGATGTGAGATACCTGCTCGATCTGACTCAAGTGAGTTGTGATTTTTGTTCTATTGTTGCAATGAAACGATGTAGGTTTAATGCCAAATTTTTGGAAATATATTTTTCCGTCGACGAATCTAAACTAAGCTGATTGACCTGAAACTGCTCGAAAATCTTTTTTTTTCTGTCATTTTACCCCGAAAAAACCGTAAAAATTATATTAACCTATAAAGCACTGTTTTCTGACCAATTAATGGGCTCAAGGTTTCCGAGTTTTCCCAAAATTTGGAGCTAAGTGTATTACATGGCCACGTACGTCTAAAACGGTTATTGATTCCAAGCTTGATATGCCATAAGCTTAATTATTCTTCATGTTATCTGATACTTTTTTTTTAGTATTGGTTATCTTGTGGCAAACATGATTTGTTGTAAATTCAATTAAGGTTGAACTGCTTAACGTTCGGCCTGTATCCGAAAGTAAATTTAGTCATTTGAGTCTGATATCTTTGCTTTTTGTTTGGACCATTGAAATTGGGGGGAAACTTTGTATTCAGGTGCAGGGGCGGATCTAGGATTTTCTCGAGGGGGGAATCCTAGATCCCAACTTTCTACGCGTGTGTTTATTTCTCTCATCAGATCACGCTCAAGTAACGACTCCAATTTAAACAACTAAGTAGTGTTTTATGAATGTGGTCGGAACATTCTGTGCTACTTGTACAGCAACCGGCTATCCTTGTTTTATTTTATTTTATATTTATCTTTCTGTGCTATGTGCACATCAATCGGCTTTTGTTCTTGCGTTTTAGAGTAGTACAATTACACTGCCCATATTCGGCCTGCTCTGGTCTCACTGCGTAAAATCAATTCTCAGTCCTAAAAGTGCCCTCCTTGTGCTCGACGTACAGAACGATCACGCCTCTCTTCTTTCCACAGAGGTCAAACTAACCCTCTTTTCGAACTTGAATGACTTGACCGAGAGACAATTTGACTTGTTCGTACTGGGATTGGACTCCTACCCGAATGATCACGCGTCTTTCGTGGAAAACTTGCAATTTCATCAGTGTTGTACTTTTTCAACTTGATATTTTGCTTTCACTGTATAAAAGCAGAGGCCCTTTAAAATCAATTTTTCGAATACAATAGATAAAATTTTGGAAAAAAAATGAAATTATTTGGAGGAAAATTACGTTATTATTTTAACTTTCAATTGCTTACCTTTTGTATTACTTTTTTAAATCGTTTGTCATATAGATCCATGGATGCTCGAGTGATGTTAGATGATGAGTCGAACCGCTATTTGATTTTACCAATTTTTTGACAGTATTTTGTGATTATTTCAAATAGCTAAATTTTGATGACAGCATTAAATGTACAGCATTGAGTTTTGCCTTGAATCAGTCACAAACTTGTGCAATATGCGCAGCCATCAGTTGATCACCTCACTGTAGGGGAATCAGTCACTTTCCAGGACAAACAAAGAGGACAGTTCAAGTTGACATTGAACCGAAAACACTGTGTCGCGGGTACCAAGGGAGCCGAGGTCAGTTACAGTTCATATTTTCAAGCTATTTGGAAGTTAAATTTAAGGATTTTCTATACAGTTCAAATCACGATTGAAAGGTCTTTCCGGCTCTTCTCCCGTTTACTTTTTACAGATATAAACATCGTTTTTAAATTGTGTTCATTGACTTAACGAGGTATATGTTGATAAAATGCGTTTGTAATTGGGTATTTAACCCATATGCCAAATTTTCATGCCAATGATTGCACGACTTGAACAAAAAGTATGAACATAAAAAAAGTCGCATGCGAGGGGACGACAGAATAGCCGATCATTGATAGGCTCAAACACTCAATTCCATCTGACATTTCTTTGTGGTATCCGGTTTTGCGTGGCAAAGTTCTTCGCCTTCGTTGAACGGGACAGTTGGTTAATTTAATGTTTATTTAAGGTGGTAAATCATCTGAATATACCCAAAGATACTCTGCGAGTGTGCAAGGGTACAAGTGCGATGCATAGTGTCCGTTCGGCGTTTCGAGACGAAGCAAGGGACGAAGACACTGGTCTAATAGCTATGCTTCGGAAAAGAGAAATTACTGATCTTTACATCGCAGGTAGGCCGTGGATTTTCCTACATTTCTCACTGATTTATAGTTATGAAATCTTGGAAGTACGGCCCTAATAGTCGATAGGATTGAATTGCTGTCAGCTTTTTGTTTTTCGCAGAATGCGATTTTTTTTCTTACTGTTCTTAACTCAACCAATGAGCTAATAGTTTTTTTCACATGCACTGGATTTGTATATAATTTCCATAAATTGACAGAAATATTCTCGGTTGCGATTGTTTTTTATATTTGAGGCCTCGGATTGTCCTCTGGAGTGCGACAGACTGCGCTGGACGCAGTGACCCATGGCTTCAGAACTGTTGTCATCTGGGACGCCTGTTGTGAGGTCGCACATCTACCACCCGACAGTCCATCACGATCTCTCGCACCAGTGATAAGCCTTTACAAACAGCTACGGAGTTTCAAAAAGTTCACACAGAAAATTAATTGAAAAGAACAATCTGCTATTTTTTTTACAAACTTTGCATCCTATTTCAGCCGAAAAAACCGTTTGAAAAACTAAGTATATTTTAACTTACCAGTTTGCTTATTGATTTTAACGTCGCTGGCTTAAGTCAACGTCGCTTGCTGAAAAATGCCTTTCCCAAAATTTGAGTAATAATAAGTAATTAAGCTTTGCAATTCATGATTTCTAATGGAGTTCAAATCAATCTTCCGTATCATATAACTTAAATGAATAATTCTGAACTGAAATTTTGGAATTTTCTGATGGCCCAAAATTATAACGTTCATGCCCAAGTATTTTTTTCTGTTTTCCTCAATTTCAATCAATTAGATTCAAGCAGTATATGATACATTTTCCAAAAAAAACTAGCCAAAATCAAACTTGAGACGTCATACGGCTCAAGTTTGATTTTGATTGGTTTTTAAAAAAATTAATCATGCTTTTTGAATAAACTAAGTTTTTCAGACAGCTGAAAACTGAATACAGATTTCGTTTAAAATTGGCAGATTGTTCTTTTCAATCAATTGTCTACCTGAACTATTTGCAACTATCACAGAATTTAAAGTATTGTTAATTGAAATGCTCACCAATGACTGCTTCTTTTTCAGCTGTTGAGCAGTGGAGTGGCAGCTGTAATGACAGACGAAGTGGAACAGATGTTGAACTGTAGCAACAGGAGACCCGAGTTGGGATACGTATCGGCTGTGAATTATGCAATGGCTCTGAAGAAGCTATCCAGGATGATTCCGATAACGTCACAGGAAAATGAGAACGAAGGAGGAGCCAGTTTGGAGGACGAGTCAGAGACTTAAATAAGAGTTCTCTCAAAAACTCATATCTTTTTTTACAATTTCCACTTTTTGATGACTTGTTTTAACATATCAGGGGAAATGGTCAGTCTACGTTTCAGAATTTTTTAAAAATGAGTCTCCATTCATTGCATATTTATATGTCGGTGTAATTGCCGTTTATCCTCTCAAATTTTGTATTCAAATTTGAGAGGATTTAGGTTTTGAATTTATATCTATTTCAATAGCCTGAGGTAATTGTAAATTCAACCAGAGGTGGATCTAGGATTTTCCCTAAGTGACTGATTTTCCAATATATATTCCGATAAAAATTATTTTCCGAGGTCTCGTCACTTACTATAAAGACCCTTTTTACCCAATATTTTCTGCGCCCAAAATTTTGCGCGCAGGCGAATTCTCGAAAAAAAAACAGTCAACAAGGCTTTTGTGGAATTTTTTGGAAGATTTTGACCCGAAAGTGGCGCTGTTTCGGCGCTTCTCATACCGAAAATAAAATTTAATATAAGTATATAAATTTTGCGGTCCGTGGGCCGAAATTGATGTTGTAACGTAGTATCAGAGATTTCCAGTTTAGGTATCGAATCACTGCGCAAGAGAAGTACGCCTCCGCTCATGATTTCATTACTACTCGAGACTGCCATGAAAAGATTGGCTTTTTTGCTGGCAGTTGCGGCCAGTAAAACTTAAGAATGCTCGATTTAGCATCTGAAAACAACGTATTTTGGACCAGGTCAAAGTAAAGTATAGTACTGACTTGACATTCAGAAAAGTTTGCTTAAAGGTGCCTCGAAAAAATACATGTTTGTAATCATGTTTTTTGTCAGTAATTGAGGTGAAGTCACTTAATTGGTTTTTAAGGAATGTCTTAAAATGTGTCTCACGCTATTTTTTTGAGAGAAATCAGTTTTAAACTTGGTATCGATTCAAATTTGATAAGCAATTTTGAAGTTTCAATCATCAAAAATTACAGTCTAAGGCAGGGGCGGATCTAGGATTTTCTCGAGAGGGAGCGACCAAATTGATTTTCCAAGGACTCCCAGGACACTATAAAAACCTATTTTGAACATTTTTGTTCTGCAGGCAATTTTTTTTAAAAAGGTCAAAAACAAGCGTTTTTGGAAAATTATGACGTAAAAATGCCTGTTTTGGCGCGCGCTCCCCTTCAAATTTAGTACATTTTGGCGCCAAAGGAACTTTCAAAAAATTTTTAGGGTTGGTCGGCCTAAAACGGATGTGATAAAATAATACCAAATGGGAACCCTTTGGTTAGTGAACGGGTCGAGTTCCTAATAAGGGGGCGTCCGTCCCCCTAAGTTCGCCCTTGGCCTAACGCGACTATTTTTAAGAGTCCTTGAATGTAGTTCAGACTCTTATATATGGCCTAATAATTTTTTGTACTTATTGGCGGCTTGATTTTTGATTTTTTTGAAGTTCAGTTCAGTTCTTCAGGGCAAGCTCCACTATCGAACAGCGAAAACGTAAAGATCACGAAAAACATGATCGACTTCTTGTTTCGAAATTGGAATTTAATTAACAAATTTCGCAGCGGAATGAAAAATTTTCCTTTTGATCCAGTTTTCTCAAAAAATATCTATCATAAATTGTTCAGGAAATTCTTAAGGCTTGAAGGGCATTCTACTTTTTTAAAAGTCGAATTTTGAGATGTTTTCAAAAAAAATTAGTTGTTAATTGTTTTCTGTTTATTTGAGTTCAATGATTTTTTACAACTCTATTAGCTATGTTTTTGAAAAAATTTTTATGTTGTTTGATAGTCTTTTTGATTTACTTTTTCAATTTGCTTGGGTTCAGTTACTATTGTTTTCTTTTCCATGAAAAGAAACAAAACGTGAATATTCGTGGTGTAATTTTTGAAAAGCGGGTCAAATTATCGAAAACTTTCGATCATAAGTTTTTAGAAGTTTGGACTTAAAGTCAAATATTTAAAAAAACTGCTGCTTGATTAATTCGAGTTTGCCGACTTATCGACCAAAAAAGATTCGCATTTTACTGTGCAATAGTTATGCAATTATGGCTTATTTTCAGAAGAAAAACATCATGCTGCTAAATAATTGTTCATCGAAAATTTTCAGTGCGTTAATGAATCGTCTTCATCGTGAGAAGAGTAGTGGTGATTTTTGGCGTTTAAAATTTTCAAGCTATCAATTAATTTCTTTAAATTAACCTTAAATTTTAGTTCAAGATTTGTCTGATCGAATTTTTGTTTTGAGAACGTCCCTGAACTTCCGTTTTTTTTCTTAGTTTCGACTACCTGAAAGAAAACCTATATTATCATATTTACACAGGCAGGCTAGCGAGAGTTAGGTATTATTACGAACGTTATTTTTTTCTAGCCTAACTCGAAAATATAAATGTTCAATAAAATTATCCACTTATTACACAAGCAAAGCATGTGTTATAGTATGAACTCTCGTTTTTTGCAACCTCAGTCGCAAATATTAGAGTTCACTTTGAAAGTGTCCTTTTATTGCAGTATGTGCATAAGATCAATGACAAGCTTTTAAGTACAGCTAATGCTAAGGATATTAACACAGACTATTATACTACAAGAAGCAATTTAGCTTTAAGTTATCATGTATATGTAGCGTAGAGGTAGGGAAGGAGACCAGCAGCAAAATAAGAGGGTTCGAACCTGGGCAGGGTCGGATGTTTTTAATGAACTTTTTTGTATAATGCGTCCGATCTATAATTTAAGGCATGTTAATTGGTAATTTTTTTTTTCAAATTGACTGGTACTGCGAATGCATCTTAATTGGTTTGCGTCAACTAGCATTTATGTAGACTCATAATTGGCATGCGGCATTTAAGAAGTTATGTAGATTCAAAGTTATACTCATTCAGTTTTTCCCAGTAGCGTTATCGGTCATATTTTTGCTTGTGTATGCGAAGTGCAACTTCGCCTCTGTATAAAAGTTTCCTTGTAGCATAGGAATTATCTCTAGGTCGCAGGTTCGAATCCGAGACGTTGCCAAGTTTTTATTGATTCGAGGCATACTTCCAATTTTGCTATTGCTCTTTTTAGAGCTGCGGTTTTTCGTTTTCACGCTAGTATTTGCAAAGCAAAGCGTTGCTTCTGTGCAAAAATCTGTTTGTCCGTTTTAAAGATCTATCTGTCTCTGTCCACATTAAAACTCTTTTTGTCGTGATTGGCCTTAAGGTATTTCTAAAAAAAATCTCTCGGTCTCGAGAAAACATGTGTGACTTTTAAAAGATAATTAAGAAAAACATACTTAAACATAAAAATTTGATTACAGTAAATAATTTTACAATTAAAACAAAAACATACTTTTAGTTCGAAATGTTCTTCTCCGACGGCAGGAATTAACTATGGATTAGCTTGTGTCTTTGTCTGTCCGATTTTGACTACCTGAAGTAAACCTCGTACGTGGTCAAGTGTTGATTTGTATTATAGCACTATTGGGCGTGATTCGAACTCAAAAAAGTTGTCTCATTTTTGGAATGTTGTGTAAATTTTTCCATTTTACACGGCGGCCAAATACATGGCCCAATTTTTAGATAGTTTCAGATCTCTTAGAACTTTTGTTGTTCAAGCGCTTATTACGCTAAAGCCGCTTGTTTTGAAAATGCGAAGTTAAACGGCCGAAATTTTTTCCATGGATTAAAACTATCTAATTTAAGGCTCAAAATTTTATACCCTGACCCTTGAATATAACTCAATGTGTACAATAACATGTCATAGGAATCTGATGAAAATTGTTTCACAATAGTTTGAAATTCATTGTCCGGTAGTCGTAGGCATTATTGCTGACCAGCACAGAAGTACACGCGTCTTAAGACAAAAATACGAAAAAACAAAGTGAACATTTTGACGAAAGAAGCTGGTTGCTTTAGATATGGTGCAAAACTGTTGCCTGGTAAATGATAAATAATTAAAAACTTCCAAATACTTTTTTTGCCGTTTCCTTCGCGTTAGAACTCCGTTAGGTTTTTTACTCACTTCTTTCTTTTTCATGGATCAGAAAAATTAATAGTGGAATCAGAGTTTGATTGTGATCTTCGGTTTGGTTACGTTTTTCATTATTCAGACCAAAATTTTTGACTTGCTTTAGTGTGTAAATTTTTCTTATGAAGAGTAGTTACTTGATAGAAGATCTAGTGTTTGAGAGAAACCTAATATTAATCATAGGATAACAACCAAGGGTAAACTATCAATTTGAAATCTATATTTGTAATTATATGTAAAGATTTAATTTCATTAAGTCCAGATGGAGGAACTACGCTAAATAATGCATTTTGTTTGACTTTTCATGAAAAACTTACCAAAAGAAATCAATTTAATGACTGTTATTGATGGTTAAACTAAGAAACTGGGTGTAATACCGGCCTATGTTGTATCTTTACAATGAAGTGTTTTTTTTTTCAGTCAAGCTAAATTTCAGATTATCAATCGCTTTCTACAAGCGAAGTTGTCACCTTAGTATTATACAGTCAGTTGATAATTTTGATAAACCAAAAGACAAAAAATTTTCTGCAGCATTGACAAAATGATAGTTATTGAAGGTTATATTTTTGTTTTTTGATGATATTGATGCCCCGAGCTAAAGTAAACAGATATTTAGCTCTTAATCGCTTGACGAAAATTTTAATGGTTTGAAGAAATTGCTACTCAATGCATCGAGCATTGCGATTTATTCTGAATTCCGGCGCTGTGAAACCAGTTCAAATAACCACTCCAAATTGAAAAGGCAAACTAATGAATCCTTATAAAGGCCAACTTGTCTCAAACTGTAATTTTTACATGAAATTTCCTGAAAATGACTTTCCTTAAAAACATGTTTCTTTTACTGCTTATTTTTCCAAAGTAAAGCGTCGCGACTGTATGTGAAATGTATGAGGTTTTATTGAAATGTGGAACTCATTAATAATATTGAAATTCAATGTGTCAGAAAACAATATAAAAGGGGATACTGGTCGTTTCTTTGTCGGAAAATCGATACAGATGCGCTGGTTTTCTTGCTGAATAA